AGGGGGAGGGAGGAGGGAATCCATAGAGCTCGTCTTCAGGAGTAGAATGGACTTACGAATTCATTCTATTAAGTCTAGTGATTTAAAATAATATCAAAGATGTGGATTATTTCTTGTTACGTTGTGTAAAAATTGAGATGAAATGAAAATGATTTTTTTTGAATAATTTGTAATTTTGTAAGTGTTATAATTGTAGGATAAATTTAATGATTTGTTGGCAGTTGAATCATGAGACGGCAATCATTTTGTCAGAGCCTCAGCATCGGCAATGAGCCCCAGATTATCGTGGAGGAGAGTGCACTCGGTGAGGAAGAGGCTGATAGACGCAGGACCGAATCACCACCTCGTTGTCTGGACCCGGACTCGCCCTCTCTCAATCCTTATTTACTCTCTCCGTTTCGAGAGGCACTACGTAAACACTCATTGCCGACTCTCCAATGCACGTCTGGTATCACTGCTTCCCAGGTAATTAAAAATTATGAAGTTCAATCAGAAAGAAATTTTTTTTTAACTGGGTGACTTCTCAATGTCTCACAGGGCGGGAAAAGTCTCGATTGTAAAATCTCAATTTGAATTTTAAAATTTATAATTCGAATTTTAAAATTTACAATTCGAATTTTGAAAATTCAGAATTCAAATGTTAAAATTTACAATTCAAATTTTAAAATTCACAATTCAAATTTTGAAAATTCACAATTCGAATTTTGGAAACTTCCCAATTCGAATTTTGAAAATTTACAATTCAAATTTCAAAATTCACAATTCGAATTTTAAAAATTCATAATTCGAATTTTTTAAATTGACAATTTGAATTAAAAAATTCATACTTGGAATGTTAAAATTCACAAATTGAGACAAACTCCTCTTTTTTCTGTTTTCCAAAAATTGTTTAGGTGAGACGATTGAGCGAACGAGGAGGAGGGGCCTCTGGGCCAACACCACGTGAAGCCGAGTTCCTGGCGACTCTGTCACAAGCCCCAGCCCCCCAACCCGGAGGTAGAAGACACTCAGTTGTGACAATTTCCAAAGTACCACCGACTCTATTTGGTCGAGGTAGACGAGAATCAATAGCCGCTGTACCCATGGGTGCAACGCGAATCCTTCCAAGTCGACGAGACTCAGCCTCAGGTGTTATCGGGCCCCCCAGCAACTCCGGGAGTTCCCACAATCTAGAGTTAGATATTATGGATGATATTACCGATATCAAAGCGCGGAAGGTAAAGTATCGGTAAGATTTTCCCCATAAACATAAAGATGTTGTGATTGATGTTGTAGATATTGATTAATTAACACAACTAATTAACAATTGAAAAAATGCCCATTCATTTCGTCTAGTGTAATTATTACTACTGATAATTGATAATTGATAATTAAATTGGATGGATAAGATAGTGAGGGTGAAATTGAGAGCTTTGACTGGGGGGCAGTGATTTGGGAGACTGATGTACCCCCTGTGCCCCCAGGTACGCCTAAAGATGTGGAGGACGACCTCTCACGAGCGGATGTGCGAGGTCCAGCCAGTGGTAGGGCCCTATCAACGTTACACCCAACATTCCCGCCGACACTCCGATCTACCACCACCTCTTCCCCCGACAGCGCCCCGACGTCGTGCCTCCGAGGTGCCCCCCAGGTGTCCTCAATCCCCAGGTATCGTCTGTTCAAACACAGACCTGATATCGATCCTGAGTTCCCTCACCTCCTCAGCAACGGAGATAAATCGTTGCGGCGATGACCCACCTAGGAGTGATTTACCCATTCATGAATCAAAACCACTGGCTGATCGTAGGCGACTCAAGGATCGCTCCAACAGTTTTGACATCTCGATCCTCCAGGGGACTGATCTTAGGGCCTCAGATGACGGGAGTATTCCTCCATATCAGGGGAGCTCCTCGTGGTTCGTCAACAGGCATCAGCCGATGTGGAAGAAGCAGAAATCGAGTGATGAATTCAGGAGAAATTTCCTGGGGATTAATGGTAATAAGGGGGTACCTTCTGGGGAGGGGCACAGCTTTTTGTGGGACAACACCAGTGGAACTGAGATCGATGCTCAGGCCTTTGGAAATGCCATTCAAAAATTTCTCACTGCTCAGAGGAATGAGGGGGACAGAGCCAAGGGTAGGGGTAAGGGTAAGGGGTGGCTCCCCGGAGGGAGGGGGGAGACCAGTGAGGGCTGTGAAACCTCTATTTGCTCGTCGTTGAAGGATCTTTTTGTTAAGTAATTCGAGGACTGATAGTCTTTGCTGGTCAAAGATTTTTTTTTGGACGCCAGGAGATTTTTTTGACGCGGGGATTTAAGGGGAGTTTATTTATTTTTTGGTATTATTGTCCTCCCCTTGTCGACTTCATTACGAAGTGCCCCGCCTCAATCGAAGAGTAATTAATGTCAAGTGAACTTTCACTACTTTCAAAAAGTCTTGATGTTACCTCATAAAGATTATTGAAAAACAGTAGCAAAGTGGTAAATTGAGATAACCCGAATTTCCGTTATCACGAAAATCGATAAATCTCAGAAACTATCGATTTTAGCAGCAAATGCAAAATGACCTTTTTTATCGAGAATTTGATGAGCAATAAAAAAGTTCTCTAACGTTTCCCTCTGAGATCGATAGTTCACCGGATAAATCACTGATAAATAAAAAATTTTCAGTGACACTTTAATCTCTCTTTATCGCTTCGCTACTGAATTAATGATAACACATTTATGTAAATAATCCAGCTCATGAGATTCGGCAATTCTGTTGTACAAAATATTCCGGAGATAAATTCGTTTAGACCTAACGAACTCAAGAACGAATTAAAGTCCTGGAGATGAGTTGACGTCATTCGGTTGCTGAATTTGTCAATATCGATAAGTTAATTAAATAATAAGGGTAGAAAGTAGCGAGGATGTTTCAAGGACCATGTTATTCAGTGTATAGACAATCGATCGAGTTAATGGCGAATGGATACTGGATATCCTTCAGATATTAAATGATAACAAATTTTTTTTTTCATCCTCGAAAGTTTCAACTGAAATCAAATATTATCACGACATTGTTTACCAAAAAGTATCAGAAATCGAGAGATCCTGAACACATGATCCCCGTTATCTCGGCAACGGGCAGAGATACCCTACCCGGACATACGACCTTTTTTCTAGGGAATTAAATTCTCCGGAAAATGTTCTTATGAGATTTTCCTCCCGCGACGCTCGTTGCAGAGATAATCAGCAAGAACTCCACCCCCTCATATCTCGTTTCATTACACCTGAGTAAATTGTCGTCTGATGAATCCCATTACGTTGCAATTTGATTCTAGTCATTAAATCCCAATGTAATTAAGAATTTTGTTATCTAATTCACAAGTGACGAATCATTAATGCTCTCTTATCGGATCTCTCCATTCTGGTAATGAGAAAGAACGAATTATAAAAAATGAAGAGATAAAAATGGAACATAGAAAATCACCGATGCATACTTATCTATTCAATCGAAATGTAAATACATTTGACACTTCTATGTGCTCTGGATGTTTCTGTCTGTGACACATGTAAAGTTATAAACGTTAAACGCCTATTACCTAATGTATTCCTATGTCACATGTCGCAATGCGAATGGAGCCTTAATTATATGATTGCAAGTGGTGAATACATTTTTAGTCGCTGGATCGTACTGCGGAATTATCAAAATTGTCACTGACATTTATTTACCGATATTTTACTTACCAATAAATTTTTATTTCATTAAATATGGATTAATAAAAAATACTAGTGTCCTGATAATTAATGTGTAAGGTAATCCTGTTATTGAACAATAAATCTTGAATGTTGACATAAAAAATGCATCTATTAATTAATATTCCCTTGTAATTATTGGATTGATGATCAATGCGTGTAATTGCAGTAATTTAATTCATCTTCATGTTTTCAGCTTTCTGTTATTGGAAAAAATAAGGAATTAATTTAATAAAATCACCCAAAGTGACATTTTTGTTTCTGAAAACAATTTATTAAGTAGAAATAGGGGTAACGACGATTGGTCGAGGGTAATACACTCTCCAGTACTGTATCTGGAATGATGTTAGCGATGTAATACAAGTTACACTCAATATTTCCAACATTTCATCATCTACAGTAGATAAATGCCATATTTTTGGAATCCAAGTGAATTAAACTCCTTAAAAATGTACAAAAAATTGGTGACTGCAATTTAACTAATTAACAATTAAAGAGACAGGTTCTTCACATTTTTTTTTGTCTTATTTCTTTACAATATTTTGCCTTGGAAGAGTGTAACCATTTTTCAATCGAAGTTGAAGGTACGAAATTCACTTAGGAGACGCAAATTCAATGGAAGAGACAAAAAGTTTTTATCAAACTTAAAGCAGTAATTATTTTGAAAAAAAGAAAGATATTGACCATTCGACAGATAAATGGTGAAATTCTGAATTATTGCCGGAACAATTCACCACGTGGAAATTAATTTTATTGAAACAATTAGAAAATATATATCAAACACGTGATAGAAGCAAACGACAGTTCGATTTTTTAAATTCGTAATTATGTTTATGAATTATCTCATTGAGATTAATCATTCGTTTTAAATCTTCTGCTGCGTTTTGTGGTGTCTGGAGTAGAATCCAGTGACCCCTGTGGGGTACACGAACCGGAAGCAATTGGTAGTTTTTGTAGATAATCGTACGTTGAATGATTTTACTTCTTTATTCGTTCTTTATTGATTGTTTTTATTCATTTATTTAAACTGAGTTGTTTTTTTTACTGGTGAGACGTAGAGGGAAGAGGATACTCAACGGCTAATGTAGATGGTGCTGGGTTTTGTCGGTGATTTATAATTGACCGCAGTCAGCAACCACGATCTTCTTCGAAGTCTTGCCACTCTGGCAACCAAGAGCTTCGAGCTGTAAATAAAAATTCCAGTCTAAAATGTTTCCCTAGTTTTTCACTGAAGAGCAAAATTTAATTAATTTCATGATTACCTTTCTCACGACATCCATCCCCTCGATGACCTTCCCGAAGACGACGTGCTTGCCATCCAGCCAGCTGGTCTTCGCACATGTGATGAAGAACTGGCTCCCATTGGTATCAGGACCAGCATTGGCCATCGACAATAGACCGGGCTCGGTGTGCTTCAGCTGGAAGTTCTCGTCCTCGAATTTTGTACCGTAGATTGACTTGCCACCGGTGCCATTGTGATTCGTAAAGTCACCACCCTGGCACATGAAGTTGGGAATCACTCTGTGGAAGCTACTGTTCCTGTAGCCGAATCCCTTCTCTCCTGTGCACAGGATACGGAAGTTCTCAGCCGTCTTCGGGGTGACGTCAGACCTCAGCTGTTGAGATTTATTTTCTTGGTAATTAAATTGTTGGAAATTGTTGGTAGCGTTGATAACGATCGCCTTCTTTTTAATGTCATCTTCTATCCAGTTAGTCAGTCATTTGAATATTTTTCTTCGTTCATAACAAAACTGGATTTCATTTATTTTCGACGGATAGAAAATATCGAAGAAAACGAGATACGTAATAATGAATAGTTGGGTCGTTTTCTATATTTTTAGAATATATTTCTCGATGAGGGCAAACGATTGAATAACTGAGATCAAAAGACATGGGGTGACATCATTGTTCATTATGCAATTGTTGTTCATTGATTATCGAGGGAAAATGTCAAGCCCCTGGGTAAAACGACAGAAATTAATCATGCGAATACTCGTAGCAGAAAAATTTCAAAAAATGTTAAAATGTAGATTGCACGTTCAAACTCTGTCTGTGATTCGCCTGGTGGTATCCGTGTGAAGATAAAATGGAAATAAAGGGGAATGAAAATGAAAGCCACTTCAAATCTGCGGATTCATCGCAAAAGAAAATTCTAGACACCCAAATCCCTACACCCTAGAAAATCCTCAACAATAAACTTGAAAAACTCAGAGAATAAACGTGATATCGCAATTTAACGTATGACCTTATTTGTAGAATGGATCGAGTCCTCTAAAAATGGTCATGACAAAAATTTCGCCAATCGCCTCGGATTCCGAGATATTCATTAAAAACCGATAACGAGAATAGTACAATTGAATTAAACCGTTCCAGGAGTTTCTCTTGTATAAAATTAAACATTCAATTTTTTATTAAATCGATCTAAATTCGGCTCCCCCTCATAAAATGGAAACGGAGTTATAAAAAAAAAGAGTGAAATCGACTCCAAGTCTATAAACCTCAAATAAAACCTCACAAAGAGCTCCAAATTTCACACACAAAATCCTTCCTAAAATCCTAAAATCCTTCTCAAAAAATGGAATAAAAAAGTTTATAGAAAATTGGGGGAAAATTAAAGAGACTCCAGCGGAAAAACTGGTGGATGACGAATGGAAAATTTTGCACACACGAGGCACGAGGTGAACAATGGCCGGCAGGTCATTGCTAATCTCCTTCCCCCCAGAGAAAAATTCCACCCCCTGCCCCAAAAAATTGGTCAATTGACCACTTTATCCGCCAAATAAGTAAATTAACTATAAAATGAGGTGATGAGTTTGCGTAAGAGATGGTGCGAGAAAAAAAAAACGTGCAGTCCTCGAGTGATACAAAATGGCCACGAGGGGCAAAGGGGCAACCGGTCCCCAACAATTAATTGTTTTAATGATAATTAATTGGTGATTTGTTGACTCACCTCCATGATGATTCGTCCCACCGGCTGATTGTCGGCGGTCATGTCGAAGAAAACACGTGGCAGGGGCATTTTTTCAGCTGATACTGCAAAATTCTTAACGAGAGATGCTAAGGACGGGCGACTGCGGCGGGCGGTGGCTCCCAAATGGCTGAAACTACTGAAGGTCGAATCAATTGACAACCTGCAGATCGATGCCAACGCCATTGCTTATGGCAGCACTGCAACTTGATTATTTAAACCAGTTGTTTTTAAGGATGAGAACAGCTTCTCACCGATTTACTGGGACAATCTCAAGGCACGTGGAACTGTTTCGGAGTTTTATTTATTGCGTAATGAGAGAGTTTGAAATTATCGAGAGAATACCGCAGGCGGAAATACAGGAGTCAGATGCGCGCGCTTCCGCCGTCGACCGAACGACGCGGGAAACTAATAATTATTTGAATTTACTTTTTTAAAAAGATTTTAATTAAAGTCGATAATTAATTATCAGATATAAACATAGAGTAAATATTAATTGCACAGATAATAATATGATTCTGGGAAACAGGGAAAAAATTTTTAAATTGCATAATGTTATATTTATAAATAATTAATTCTTCATTATTTTTGCTGTATCGTTTTTTTTTTAATTTGTCTCATTAAAAATCGAATAATATGTCATTGAAAATTGGCAAAATCGTTTTAAAAATGTAGAAGGGCTTTTGAAAAAAAAATTAACAGGTAATTTGACTCTCGTATTTCTCCGGGAAACATGGCGCCTGCATGAAAGACGCTGATGGGCCGAATTCATGAGTAAACCCTAAAAAAACTAGTTTCATAATTGATTAGAGTAAATAAGCCACTAGTGAGTGATAGAATCGTGAATTCTAGTTGATAAATAATAATCTACCTCAGGAATGAGTAATTTGTCGCCGTTCGGGGGTGGAAAAAACCCCCCGTGGGTCAGAAATGCAGGTGAATAATAAATTCAACAATTTCAATCATTAAAACAACTAAACAATCATTCTCCATCACCTCTCCGTGTGAAGAATTACTCCGATTTTCGTATTCTCAGTTACAAAAAATTGTAAAGAACAAATTATTCGTGAAGATAATAATTATCTCGTCATTAATATTGTACCGAGATGAATTATGAGCTCAGGGGACTTTCGCTGTGAGCGATTGTCTTTTATTTTTAGAATATTCAATTATCAGGATTTTATTTAGTGTCGCAAGACCAATGAGCTGTTGTGGGGAGGGATATGTCTTCTTTATAAATCCCGTGCACTACGTAATCATTTCCCTATTTGTTGTACATGTTTATTTCACTTTTCAAGGTTAACAGCCAATCATGAAAATGTGGAGACGGTTTTTTGGGGATATCTCGGTGGAGACTAGATGTACGAGAAAAAATGACTAGACAGATTTTATAGCTTTCGAAATTCCCCACAAAAGATTTCTCTGGCGTTTTTCGATATTTCTCACAGTTTCACAGATATTCGTAAATCACTGATAACTGAAATAATCAATCATTTCGATTTACATAAGCTTATTTAATTAGTCAATTAATAATGGAACAATGGGAATAATTGCATCGGAATCATCATATACACGAGTCATTTCCACGCAAACGAGTTTTTCTCTATGAGAAAAATCGAGATCTCAGCTGGACTCTAAAACTTCTCTCTTTTCGTTCTCTCAAGTACAAAATGGGGATTTTTTAGGCCAGGGAATTCAGAATATCCAGCAGCAGATGTTGGGTCAGGCAATGGGGGGAATGGGTGGCCAGCCTATGGTCCAGTACCAACAGCAGACCCAGCAGGTTTATCAACAGGGCCTTGGACTCCAGCAGCCCAATCTGACGATGGCCTCGATGGCCCAATTAGGTTCAAATCTCCCCTCAGGAATTGCCGGACAACTCTATCCCCAGGTGGCCACTGTTTCCTATCCCACGCCCAGGACACTCAATGCAAACGCTTTCCAACAGCCTGTCGCTGGAGTTCAACCCCAGGTACAGCAAAATGTCCAGTCGTCCTCAACGAAGCAGAGAGTTTTCACTGGAACTGTCACAAAAGTCCATGATAATTTCGGATTCGTCGATGAAGACGTGTTCTTTCAAACGAGTGCATGCGTGAAGGGTTCAAACCCCCAGATAGGGGACCGAGTGCTGGTGGAGGCATCATTCAACCCCTCGATGCCATTCAAATGGAACGCAACGCGTATTCAGGTGCTGCCAATGTCTGGGAACTCCACATCCTCGAATTCCCTGAGTACCCCAGCCCCCCAGAGCACCCAGCAGAATCGTCAGGCCCAATCGAGTCGACCCTCGGGGACTTACAACGCAGTTCCACCCCCCAACGATCCTCCAAACACCTCCAGATTTTCTGGCAACAATTCGGCCTCGACGACGAGCACTCGCAGCAAACCAGCGAGAACTCGAGAGAGATCTCGGGAGAGGCGAAACGACGACGAGGAAGTGGAGAGAAAACGGAGGCGAGAGGAGAGAATCAGGGAGAGAGAGAAGAAAGAGGAGAGGAGTCCCTCCAGAACAAGGAGAAGTAAATCTCCAAGACCGAGACGACGAACTAGAGTTGTCCCGAGGTACATGGTGCAGATACCAAAGATTGCTCTCGATTTGCCAGAGGCTGATGTTCTCGAGGTCAGGAGACGATACCAGAATATGTACATTCCCAGTGACTTTTTCTCCACCAACTTCAGGTGGGTTGACGCCTTTCCACCACACATGCCATTCACCCTCAACAAACCCTGCAGCTTTCACGTCATGCACAAGGACGTCGATGGGGTCGTCGAGAACTCAACTGTACTCGAACCACCTGATGCTGATTATCTATTCTCTGCTAAGGTTTGTACCCTAGACTAAATAAATACATAAATTATCAATTAAATTCTTAATTATGTCCAGGTAATGCTCATGTCGATGCCTGCGATGGAAGAAATCTATAAACGGTGCTGTGGGGTGACTGAGGATCGAGACCCAGATCGTGACTATGTCCATCCGACTCGATTAATTAATTTTCTCGTGGGTCTGCGCGGAAAAAATGAAACAATGGCTATCGGTGGGCCCTGGAGTCCCTCCCTGGATGGTCCTAACCCTGAGAGTGATCCTTCAGTCCTCATCAGGACAGCTGTCAGAACGTGCAAGGCTCTCACTGGCATCGATCTGTCCCACTGCACCCAATGGTGAGACTAAAATCAACGAAAGAAAATATTAACATTGATTATTCGAGTCTCCAGACTCTTCACCATCGGGAGATCTTCGAGAATCAGCTGCCTGGAACTACAGCCAATCCTTATCATTTTTCCATACTTTATCGAGAGTTTCAAGAGATTTTATCATCTTTCAAATCATACATCAATGGAAATTCTTTCTAAAATTAAATTTTCAGTTCATTAGAAGAGAAATAATAATGTAGAAAGAGTTTTCCATTTGTTTAATTAATTAATTCCATTTCGTTGTTATTATAGTTAAATAAATCTCTTGGGACTCGAAAAAAAACTCAGAGGATATGAACCAGGTTTGTACCCCAAAAATTCCCTACAACCCTCGAGATCCAGTTGGCAGAAAAAGGACGTCACCACACCAAAAGTTAAATTTTCCAAAATTTCTCCAGTCTAACACGATTTAATGATTTCCATCTGTCGCAGTTCATTGGGCTCGAGTCACCAAAAAAAATCAATAAACCAATAAATAATAATTGGATTATCCAAATAATGGATAGATCGAGTTGAATCAATCGAAAGTGATAAACAGCATTTTGACGTTTTTTCTTTTCGACTATTGTTTTGGTTTTTTTTTTGCATTGCAAAACAGGTATCGCTTCCTGGAGCTCTACTACAGGCGTGCTGAGACGACCCACAAGTCGGGGAGAGTTGTGGCATCGCGCGTTGAAACGGTCATACTATTTCTCCCAGATGTTTGGAGCTGTGTATCAACTAAACTGGAGTGGGATACACTGCATCTGAGCTATAAGAGACAACTGGATAGGAAGCTGTTGGGCGCTGGGGGCGAGGGCGAGATGGAGGTGCCTGGGGACAATGATGATGCTGTCATCGCTGATCAAAAGGCACTGGCCCACAAAAAAACCATTTCCATTTCCCCCCTTTTATTTTATATTTACTTACCATTATCTTCGCCTCGAGGTCCTTTTCGCTACCATTAGATTTTTATCGTGATTAATTCGTGGTGGAGCCTTACCTGGTGATTATTTATTTTCTCATAAGAATTCCTAGAAATTATTGAAAGTAATCGGTATGATTATGTTTATAATGAATAATCACATAAATTATTTATTATAAATCAATTAATAAAGACATAGTGGATAATTGCACAATTTAAATCACCAGGTAATTTTCGCTAAATGAACTGATTAGTTTATTACAGTCTCCCGGAAGTTTAACCAATTGATAATCAATGACAATATGATTTGCAGTTATTTTTTGGAACTTGTCCCACTCGAGACGATATATTTAATCGAAAAAAAAAATCACTTCTTTTACTATTTTGTTGTTGAATTGAAATCTCACAACCACTGTCGTTTTTTATATTCTGCGTTTGTTGACATGATAATTTATGAAACCACACCGACACCAGAGACCAGGACACTATGAGATATGAGAGAGAGAGAGAGAGTTTGGGAGAAATTTTTCATTCGTATTAATTGTTTATTCGTCATTTGTGGAAAAGATTTGTGAATGATACATTTTGTTGATTGTGGGGGAGAGAGTGGGGTTTTAGGGGCTGCTTTATTGTTTGTAGTTTATTTATTTGAATTTTTTTTTTAAGTTGAATTTTTTTCTTTTTTATTCTCGAATCGTCGCCTGATGGGGGAATTTCTGGTTTCAGGACGATACCACACCGGAGAAGAAAGATCCAACGCATTATTCGGAGTTGGATCCCAAGTCGATGAACGTGGGTTTTTATTATTATAATTAATAAATCATTTATACTGCATGTTATGAAATTTAATCTGTTATCCCCAGGTGAATGATTTGCGCCAGGAATTGGCAGCCCGCAATCTGAGCTCCAAAGGCCTCAAGTCCCAGTTGTCAGCTAGACTTTCAAAAGCGATTAAATCAGAGCAAGCTAAAGAAGAAGGACGACAGGACGAGGCAGAGGACAACGAGGAAGAGGTAACACCACCTCCAAAGGAGGAAACCAAGGAGGAAAAGAAGAGCAAAGAGGTGAGCCACACCCTCTCAATTCATTAATAATAACTACGATAATTAATCGAGTGAAATAAATATATGCAAAATCATTTGAAATCATCTCTGAGAGTAAAAAATTCTTCCAGCACGACGAGGACAAGAAGAAGAATTCCGAACGTGAACGTGTACTCATGGAGAAGCGCTACACCCTGCCAGAGGCTCCTCACATAATCGTCCACCCATCACGCAGTGCAAAATCGGGAAAATTTGACTGTACAGTGATGTCGTTGTCGGTGCTCCTGGACTATCGTCCGGAGGACACGAAGGAGCACTCATTCGAGGTGTCTCTCTTTGCTGAGCTCTTCAACGAGATGCTGATGCGCGACTTTGGGTTCAGGATATACCGATCCCTGTGTGCACTCCCGGAGAAGTCCAAGGATAAGGAAGAGGAGCCGAAGAAAGTGAAAAAGGAGGAGAAACCTGGGGAGGAGAAGAAGCGAAAGGACGAGGACGAGAGGAAGTCCAAGGGTATGAAGAAGGAGGAGAAGAAAAAAGAGGGCAAGGTAAGGGACGAGAAAGACAAGACGAAGAGTGACGAGAAGGAACGTGAGGACGATGAGGAAGAGGACGACGACGAGACTGACGACGATGACTCCGTCAAGGATGGCAAGCGGGAGAAGGACAGGGATGGAAAGAAGAAGAAAATCAAACTGTTTACGTATGATCCCTATTTACTCCTGTCCTTTGTGTACTTCGATCAAACTCACTGTGGATATATATTCGATAAAGACATCGAGGAGCTCATCTACACGCTGGGATTGAATTTGTCTCGTGCACAGGTGAGAAAACTAGTGCAGAAGGTCGTAACCAGGGACTCTCTTCACTATAGAAAATTGACTGATCGTTCCAAGGACGAGGAAGACAAGGAGAAAATCAAGGAGGAGAGAGAGGGGGATGAGGACAGCAAAGAGGAGGTCGTGAATGAAGAGGAGTTGAAGTCCTTGGCGATGGGGAACAAGAGACTCCTGCCTGTTTTTGTCAGTGGACAGGTGCCTTCGAAAAGAGCGAGAGGTGAGAATCAGGGCGAGGGAGAGGAAACGGTGCCGGAGGGTTTTGTCATGTTCAAGGGGAGTCTCCTCGATGTGGAGAAGCTGGTGAGTCAGTTGAAGAGGAGTGAGAAGGCCAGGATAGATACTGAAGCCAAGATGGGAGAGATCCAGCACGAGTTGACGAGTGTGAGCGATAAGGCTCACAGACAAGCAACTGTCATCAGGGATCTTGGTGATGATCTCAAGGGGTACAAGGACAAGCTCAGGAGTGTCGAAGAGAAACTGAAAAAGACATCGTCCGAGTGCTATACGTACCTGAGTACTCTGAAGAACGTATACCACACGACGTTTAAAGTGATACAGAGTGATAGTAAAAAGGTGGAAATAGTGGAGATACAGGATGAAAAATCATCGAGTGAGATCAATGGATCCCAGAGTGATGGTAAATCCAAGAGTGACACGAGGTGGGGAGACGGCAAGAGTTCGGTGAAAAAGGAAATTGAAGACAAGGATAAAAAGCACGAGAGCAAATCTGTGAAGAAAGAGCAAGTGGATGGGGAAAAGGAGAAAAAGTAATTGATTAACAATTTTTATTTATTTCTATCGGAAATTATTGAATCGCCATTTCATCGATATTCACTTTTTAAAAAATGTGAAATTCTTACGCATTGTTTATTGTCAATGTTCGTTGGGAGTAACGACTCGTCTCCTTTCCTCACTGCGTGTTAATTAAGGCGAAAGTCACGTTGATTGGAGAAAAAAATTTACCTGCGCTGAGCAGATGCTTTACTCAGCTATTTGACGTTCTCAGATTCACGTGAACACAGTGTGCATCGAGTAAACCACGAATTAACAATTTTCTAATTGAATCTATCATAATAATTAATAAGATTAATTGAATTAATAAATTGCTCATTAATTCTGTCGTTGAGAGGATCCAGGAGACGAATATTGTTAATCATTCGTTAATTAAAAATAGGGTGATAATCAGTTGGAGAAAATTTTTGAACTCTACAGAATCAATTATTTTCTCGTGATTAATTCCTGATTACAATTTTATAATCGCTATTTTCACTGCCTCTACAGTGCTAATACCCCCTCGTCCCAGGGACGATCATCATGAACAATTAATAATTAAAGCGAGAGACTGGGCGATTAATGAGTCTTCTAGATACTCTCAATTTCAGAAACTGAACGGAAGAAATAAAGGATTATTGTAAAAAATTTTAACGAAATGCTGAGAATTTTTTATTTTCTTCTTATCGAAGAAATCACCTGTTTCGAGACGTAATCGGGTGGATCTTTAATTACCATTAATTATTATAATTAATTAAGTAATGATTATAATTAATTAATCATTGAGGATCCATTAGTAGGAGGGGAGGAGCAGTTGTACGAGCTATTGGAGGAATAAAATAAATAATTCGTTTGACAGAATTATTCTTTTTTTGGCAGAAAAATTTATTTGATGCTTTGGGAATTCTCAAATGTCAAACGACATTTGCTCGCAGCTACATTTTTCACGTCAACGTCGAGAGTAAATTGATGGTTTTTTGAGTTAATTTAATACATTTCATGATAACTGGGTTTTTATTCGGGTATTCTGGGTTCGGTTTTGATAATTTGCTGATTCCATTAATGAATTTTAAATATTTTTTTATTTAATCTTTTAAGTGAAAGGATTTTTTAGTTTTCAGAAAGAATTTAAGGATTGGAGAGTATCTTTGGAATGAATGGGTTTAGAGGAGAATGTCAGTGAAAATTATCATCTAGACCCTGTAATTCCAAAAATATTTTCAATATCTTTTAATAGTCTTCACTTTAGAAATTCACGTACCAAAGCATTTCTCGCATTCGCCGTTCTACAAATATCGTCCACATTTTTTTATTCTTCATTCATGTCTTTTATTTATTGTTTTCCATGATTTTAAGCATTGCACTAGTCTCACTATTCTCAGCTATCGTAATTATTATTTTCCTTGTACAAAAACCAACATTTTGTTTTTTCAAGAGTTGAATGGAGCAACAAAAAGACATAAAAAGTAAATAACATGATTATCTCTTTGTTGTTCCATTTAGTTACAAGTTTCATCCACAGAAAATGCCAATGACTTTGATTTTGAAATTAATTAATTTCTCATTTTGGAATAGTAAAATCGTAGAGTAAAGAGATAAGCGATTAGCAAGTGACATCAAAACACATGATTAAATTGCAATTTAAAAAATCATTAGGCCTCTGATTCAATAAACAAAAAATCATTGCTAATATCATTGCACGTAGCTCCAACGAACTAAATTTATGACAAACTCTATAATCTTACTATTCCTTTCGCAAAACTCAAATAGACCAAGAAAAAAAATCTATATTTACAGCGATAAAATAAACTCTAATACTGCAAGGTAAATTAATTAATTGACTAAATTAATTTCCCTTAAAACATTTAATCAATTAAAAAATTTCGGTATTTACACATAAATCGATAGTCTACAACTCCATCGATAATCAAGCGAGAGAAATCGACCAAAAATTTACAGATCAAATTGCAATCAACTAATTGAGATTAAATTCAATCGTTACGTATTGTGCAATCGGCCATTGGCTCTCGGTATAAAAGTGGTGGGGAATTTTTTAAGCGATGGAATGCAAGATTTTGGATTTTCCACTTTGACATCACCATTCAGTCGACTCATTAACTCTTGTTTGGGTTTCAATAATTTTGATGAACGTTCCGTTATTTTACGGGAACATCTGCTGCTGTTGACCTCCACCAGAGATGGTGAACGTGGTGATGCACTCTGATGTCTCCACGAGTCACTCCAACTGCAATTCAAATTGTTCAACAATTTTTTTTGCTATTCAATAAGGAAGTGGTGAAGGGATACCAGTGGAATTTGCCATTTTCCTCATTTATCCATTTATCTCGAAAATTATGAATGTGAGTAAAAAATGGTAGAGAACTTTTCTGTAGGTCATTAAAGTCTCGAAGAAAAAGGTCTCTTGACATTTTTCCGTGTAATCAATAATCCGTGAGATTTTAAGGTTTATTGGTAGTTAATAAAACTCACCCCACAGGGCTAGACATCGCAGCATGAAACATGTTTTAATCGTAAATCCATTATGTTTTATTAATTAATTAATTGTTCCATCTTGAGTGGATCAATCGGTTTAGTTAATTATCACTCCATGCTTTGATAAAGTCTTCAAAATTCTTTTCAGATCTCAGAAGCAGAAAACAATAAATATTTCCTATTAGTTCAATTTTCAAAATGTTCAAGGATCTATAGGAATTTTTACATGCAAATCTGCAGCAAAGGGCTAAAAAGAGACGATTCCAAAATTGTCCTTTATATCCATTAATTATTGAGATAATTAACAGTTGAAACAATTTTTATTTGCAATCAATTGCATTGTAATTCACAAGTCGTTCACTCTAATTCGCTTTGAATTCGTCTGCTCTTTTCAGTCTACCACTGGAATTTATTCACAAAATTATTCTCTAAACTCTGGAGATTATGATTTTATCGATTTGAAATGGGAGTAATTCTGAGATTAAGCAAATGGGCGTAAATCAAGAAATTCAAGGCGCACAAAAGTACATATCCCATTACAAGGTCACATGGACTGACGCACTCTACCTTCCCGATCCTGAAGCTGATTTTTATTGTTACCAGAGATGACGAGAGGCACCAGGGCAGCAGAAAAATGTTTCGATGAAGATTTTATGAAATTTATGAATTATTTTTAATGACTTAATCCAATTTACTAGCGAAATGCGACGTGAGATAGATAAAATCGACGATTCCGCTCAATTCCCGATTTATCTCGAGAACCATTGACTCAAGAAGGAAACGCTAAAGGACTTTTTTGTAGTTAAACAATTTCCCCACAAAAAATATATCCTGGTATTTTCCCCTAAAATCAGTACTTTCTGAGATAAATTCATTTAAATCGAACTGAAATTTCAATTATTCCACTCCAACGCTTCGTTAACAAATTAATCTTTGTTCATTAGTTAAAAAATAATGTCTTACCTAACGAGAGGCCCCATGCCGCTTTCCTGTGGAAGTGACTGGAGCAGAGAAGGTCCTGCTGATATCGGTCGAATCTTGAAAAAAAAAGTGAAAAGAATATTATTTTCAGTGAATTTCAAATAATAATTTTTGTAAGAGGATCCATCATTCCAAATAAATCCATTAGATTTATTAATTTATTCTTCAAGACATAGAGAAAATGTACCTTGTCTGTCTGCGTTGCTGCATTGCAAATATCTCGTGACAGCGTACTATTGCCATTCATCGACGAGGAACAGCTCGGTGAGTCTGAATTGTTCATGAGTTCCTGTTGTTTGGCAACTTGCACCTACAAACAAACAAATTGAATTACCGAAATTGCAAAACAAAGAGACACTTAAATCAATCGTGACTGTGACAACCTGAAGCTGTTGTATAATCCTGTCCTTATCTTCTAGCTGTCCCTGAAGAAAAATCACTTGTCTCCTCAAGTCTGCCATTTCATCAGCAACATTAAGAGCACCATTACCCAGTCCTGTCGTATCAGTCGTACTATCTTCATTCAGGTTCGGGAAGAGGCCATTCACCATAGGATTGGTGAATGGATTGAGAGTTTCCGCCTGAAATTCAAAGCCCAAACCATTTTGATCTGCTCCTCCGACGGTTCTACTCAAATTAATCTCTTAATTCAATAATTAATGAACATAAAGAGGAGAAACAAATAATAACATACCCTCGTCAAATCTTTCTCTCCAGACTTCACGAATCGGTGGAAAAAAATCGAGGAACAACCAGAAAATAAAACAAAGCAGAACAAAACGTGTACATGAGTCAATAAAATAAATAATTAAATAAACGAACGAGTGAAGGTTGACACAATTAATGGACATTGTTACGTAACACTGACACTGACTGAGTTAATGAGTAATTAATCTTGGAGAAGAGGGGGAAATGTGGTAAATTACCTCCTGAACTACTCGCATGAGCTTTAAGAGACCTGTCTTGATTGACACTATGTCCTGGTGGTAATTGCATCTCTCAAGCCTGGGACTTTCTTCGTCGCCCGAGTCAAGACTAAGACTCGGTGATTGACCCTTTTGTATTTAAAAAAAAAGATATTATTCCCATAGAATTATTACATTTCACGAGATTATTTCATTTCCTCAGTTCTTAATTATTTGCAGAATCATTAGTTAGTTGATTGGCATGATAAAATTAATTTAACTCACATTTCCGGTGAAGACTGGTCGGAATGGACTGGCAATTTGCCTCGTCCTCATACTGTCCTGAGAGCGAGGGGAATCAGCTCCTGGTCTGCTGCGGAGGATTCTCGATGTTCTAGCAGCTGACACTCTGAAAAATTAATGAAAATAACAATTGCAGAGGAATTAGTTAATTGCAGTTTGAACTTGTAGCAATTTTCCTCGTCGTACATCGATTTTTGTCAATTGAATAACGAGACGAATCGAGTTTCCCAGTTTTTCCAAATACAAATACAGATAAATCTCAAAACCTATCGACTTTACGAAAAAATATGAAAAGATATTTTTTGTCGGCAATTTGATGAGGCACAAAAAAGTCTTTCATCATTTTCCCCTGAAGTCGTTAATTACTTGGATATTTGGGGAAATGAGTGATTTCTGAATGAAGAATTGACGAGAAATTAATTTTCAGAGAGTGTAAGAGGATGAATTTAATTTTAAAAATTGATTTGGGTGCTGGAATGAGGTACCTTGAAGCATTGTCACCCTTACGTGCTGCAACGAGAGAATTAACGACGGAAAGGGGTGGAACGACGATTTTCTGGGACCTGGGGGGTGGAGAACCAGTTGGGGTGGTGTTATCAGAGGACAACCCTGAGTCTCTGCCACTCTCGCCCCTTCTAGGACACGAGGATTCAACACCTCGAGCCTCTCCAGCCCTCACCCTCGGTATCATCGTTCTTCGCCTGGCACCCCGTGCCACCTCCGAAGTCGTTGCCATTTTGACATCAACGGGGAAATCGAATCAACGGAGTTCTCAGGTCGACTGTCAGTCAAACTCAACTCTGACACATCTCGGGAATAAATACTCCTGGTGATTCACCCGGAGATAAATTATCGCAGGCCACCTCACATCGTCGGTTCAATTAACACAAACGGAACCCACGCAGACTGCACAACCAGTAATAATCATCATGTTTCACAACCGGCAAAGTTCAAGGTCAAATCATCAAGTCAGCATTTAATTCCATTCATCTGGACCACAATTTTTCCCATCCTACCACTGGATTTTACCCCCCGGTGAAGACGTCTGAGGTCTCATCAACCTCCAGAAATTAATCAACCAATTGTTTATGCAGTGTTTATTAATCAAGTGGGGGAGGTACGCAGTTCGGAGCTGAGGAAAATACTCAGGAGTACTGCAGACCTCGAAACCGATGGGGATGGGTTCTCTCATGATAAATTCCAGGCGCAAGCGCTGGAAAATTCATCGCGCTCGATACCTGGTGGTATCCAAGTGGCGGGGGTGCAGTAAAATTTTTTATTCTAAAAAGACATTACTGCACTTGTAACGAGAATTATTCATAACTGTCCGTCAAATTACGCGGATTGAAAAATTGATTAATTTAAAACCGAAGAATTGTTTGTCAATTCATCTCGATAGTCTAAAATATTTATAAATTTATCTTTATTAGTACTATTTTATTAAAACTACCCAACAAAATTTCGAAACGACTCAGATAAATAAATTAGAGGGGGTGGGACAGGTGGGGCGAGTTCGGTGGGTTGTGGTAGGTGGTATTAATTATTTTTCTATCAGAATGAGTAATTGATCTGAGAAATAAAAATAAAAAATAAAAAATAGGAACCGCAGAGGCTTTATCATACCAACCAAGGGGTATTGGCTTACTCTAACACGCGATACCAAACGTCCTTGTCCCAGAAAACAAAAATAAAGGTAAAAATAAAAAACAATAAGAGTTAGTACATCACCTCACCATTTCATGTTAGAACTTTCATTTTGGTGTTGTAAATATAACAGAGCTCGTTCATTCTCTGGATCAATGACTCCAGGTGTGGAGATACTTTTTTTTTCGAGGAACCGAATGACAGATTGGTGAGGCATGAAACTATTGAGGTTCAGGGGAAGTAGTTAGTATTGCCTGGGTACCGTGAAATTAATATTCGATGGTGAATTTCAAGGATTTGTTTAAAGGAATTTTGATTATCATGAGAATTGTAATTGTAATTGCAATTTGGATAGTTACTTGTATAATTAGAAAATAATGACAATATTATCGTCACCGTAATTGCTATCTGGATAAATGATAAATGATTATAAAATAATAATAATTTATAAATTATATGTGAACGGGAGATTTTCCAATGGTTGACAGAAAGTTAATGAGAGATTATTTATGAGAGGAATCTGTTTTCTAAATCCTCTCCAATAATTATCAGAAAATCACTAGTTTGTCATGATTGTTTACGAAATTTTCCTCAAAGACTGGAGATGATCCCCTGGATCCACCTCTCACAAGGTAAATGGACGACTAGCCAACTAGTGACGCTCTGATAAACTCGTAAATCATAACGTTGTCTTACTTATGTTATCACACTAAATATCTGGCACTTGGGGAAGAACGAGGACCTGGAGACCTGGGGAAATTGTCCTCTGGGTTGATGACCCCCTCGGTAACGAGCCGTTGAGTAAAACGAAAAAAAAAAACCATCGAATTCACTAGCGAAAAAGTAAAGAGTAGAATTAAAAATATTAAAGGACTTTCTTCATAATTTCCACTCAGAAAAACTGTGAAACTAAATATTTTTATCGTCATTTCACTTTGGATTTATTATTTTCCCTTTCATGTCGAATAATTGAAAATAATCACGGTTTTTTTTTATATCGCAGGTAATCGCATTTTTAATACAAATTTAAAGTGAATTCGCAAAGGAAAAACTCAAAGAAACCGAAGGAAAATGACCTAGATTGAAAATAACGACAGGTGTTAGGCGAAGCGAAGTAACACGAGAAAATACTCTGGCCTTCTTATTTTTTGTTCTTTTTAATTGTGAGGGGAACAATGAGACGAATCGTACTGCATGCTCAGGTAAATGTGATCATGCAAGGCATGAAAACGATTTAATTATTTGATCTCATGTCTCTGTTTTTTCTGACTGTTATATCTGTGTCTATTCATAACAATAATTGTTGATAGATACATTAATTATAATTATATGAAATGGAAATGATCAATAAAAATATGGAAAAAAAACAGAACAGTTTTAGCGGAGAGGATTGATTATAATATTATTAATTGTTTGGAGAGAATAATTTTAATGGGAAAATTTTGTGGGAAAATTTTGTGGGGAAATTTTCCTCATTGATTATTAAAGAAACTTGAAAAATAAAGACAATATCCCACTTGTTTATTTTTTATCTGGACTGGACAGATTACATTTTAAAATGTATTTTACAGGGTGGATGCAGATATGGTGGAGTTATTTACCCATTGGTGGAAGGAATTTTTGGTGACGCCGATGGGACTTTATTGGGTCCTGATATCTGCACTGCCGGTTCCTTCATTTTTTACACTAAAAATCCTGTTCACACTTTCTGGTTAATTTTAATTGTCACTTTAGTGTCTCAATCTGATTCTAAATCATCCGATTTTTCAATTCTCCAATTATCAAATTGCTTTCCTCCACAAGTTTCACTTCCCTTTTAAATCCTAGGGACACATTTTCACAAGTATTTCCCTAAAATTTAGATTTTGTTTACACAGCTTATTTGTTATTCTTTCAATTCCACAAATCCTTGGGAAATTCACTGCAATTTATTTTTTTCTAATCCTTCAAAATGGCGATTTTTATACTCGAAGATTGCAAAAATTCCACTTTGAGTTTCACCGCAAGTCCTAAACCCATTTATTGTCTGGCCGCAGGTATTTGTAAGTAATTTCCCTGCACCTGGCTATTTAATGAGTTCCCAAGTGTCCCCTATTTCCTCCCCCATTAATCTGCATTTCTAATTATCCTCGAATATTCATTAAATATATATTCTGATTACTCAATGATTTTATACGATTCATTAATTAATCCCCAATAATTACCAAATGTATGTTGGACTACCATTTTTACGTATTTTTCACCTACAATTTACCACAAATAGGAAGTCAAGTACATGTGCTAATGACATTAACAACTCTCATTACAACTACCATGGAAGAAATAATTGTTATTAGCAAAATTACTCTGGATAACAAAATAAATTACTTTTGTTATATTTAAGAACAACACAGCGCCATTATTATTACTGGATACGTGGATTTGTCCACTTGATCGCACAGAGGAAGAGCAATTACCACCAGTTTTCAATTATTTTTAATTATTTCAATTAATTTTGCTGTGAAAATGGAAGAATTTTCGCCAATTTTCGGCATTATTTCATCAATATCTCGGAAACTAGTGGAACTACGAAAAAACCTTAAAGGACTTTTTTATGAAGAATTGAATTTCCAACAAAAAATTCTCCTGAGGTTTTTCCGTAAAACCCCTTGTTAACAATATAAATAAACAAATAACAATGGATTTTTTGTCTGAGTCAGACAAAATTGAAAAATATTGTAATTAAAATTACAATTTGATAATTTGTTAATTGGTGGTAAGAATTATGATTTGCGGTTGTTAACTGATAGTTGGTGGTATCGTAGATGATATATTGTTATATTAAAAATAATTAATTGTGATATTGAAAGATTAATTGTGAAAAATAAAATTCTTCTGTTCAATTTTCGTAATTTCTACGGGTAAAAATGGCTAATTAGTGCATCTAGGTTAATGATTCCCTCTGTGGGTCTCCCTACGCTTGAAATGAGAGTCCCGTATGCAAGATCAAGATTACAGACCTCAATCATGCAATTTCTCACCGGCGATTACGTTACCTCTTCTACCTCTTCCCCAAGTGCCTGATCTAAATCAAAGCACTGACTCACTCGACGTTTATTTTCATTCTATTTATTTTATCTAGTGCTTGGACAACTTTTCTCGATATGAAATTGAAAAAATACTAGTGTCGAAGGACAAAATCTCGATGCAATGGTAAAATCAGCTGATTAATTTTTCGTGTTTACCGATTTCTACCGATATCTCAATAACTATCGATCTCAGATAAAAATCATAAAGAACTTTTTTGCAGCTCATTAAATTCCCGATGGAAAAGGTTTTTTCACATTTTCTCTGAAAATTGATAGTTCTCGAGATGCGCCGATAGTTAAGAAAAATTCACCAGCAAAGCAGTAAAAGGACTAGCACCTAAGATTTTGAGGAATATCTCGACACCTGAGACAGATAACAAAATTTTTGTAAAATCCTTATATCTAGCTCTCGTTTCGGTCTACAAAAAAGGTTCAATCAAAAATATCGCTATCTCTCTTAGATTCACAATTATTCCTCAACCCTTCACCTTTTCCCCATCGCATCATAAAATCCCACTTCTAACTTCATCACATCACTATTAAATTCTACTAATTATCCAAAAACTTTGTTCCAACCTAAAACACATAAAATACTTCAATCCCTGTTCTTCCTGTAAATTTTCCAAAAATTTTCACCTATTCTCTGCTTTTTCGGTTTCAAATAATAAATTCCTTGAATTCTGTAATTATCTCATTCTCCATAAATTTTAAATAATCTCTTGTCACAATTATTTCTGAGATGAAAAAAATAGTCAATATTAAATTCAATCAATGGGAATTCTGATTCTCTCGTTAAATTCATTCTGTGAATTTTTTCTTCCGGATTATTCCCTATGAATTCTGTTTTGATTGAGTTTCTGGAGTTTTTAGTGATTTATCATCGGCGTTATGTCCCCAGTGCACCAGGTGTGTTAGTTTTGTTAGGGGATAATTTCAATCGAGTGAAATGTGGGGGGATAGGGCCACCTAGTGCTCGTTAGTTAGGATAAGTCAGCTGGTAGTAGTCCCCACCCGTAGCCTCCTCTTCAATTTGCAATTGCTTCACTCGTTTTATAAGCTCGCTAGAACACAAAACACTAACTCTCAGGCACTTTTCAATCTTTTACCGTCAATGTTCCAGTTAATACGTTCCTACCAATCCCGTTGATTATTCATAAATAGCGAAAGTCGCTGGATTGTTAAAATAATTGTTTCCAGGACAAACGATATTTCACGGATTTCTGCCCATAAATATTGAGTTCATGATTTTTTATGTGACAGTTGAGCAATTTGCCACTGAGTATTTATTTATTGCAATGTCTGAACGATTTATAAATAATTTATTAATTAATGCTCCACCATCCTCACAGGATTTTTATCATTTAATAAATCATGGTGATATAAAGAATTTTTTAATGCATAAAACTTTGGGGTAAGACTTGGGGTAAAAATTGATAATTCGAAAGAAAAGGGACCATAACTGAGACATTGACGGTATGTCGGATAAACTTTTTATATAATCAATGGAAAACAATTTGAATTCGTTCGGTGGAACTAGATGATTAATATTTCCCTCAAATAAACGATCATTCATCACAAAATAACAGCACTGGGAGTGAAAGTAGAATTGAAGTTGAGAAACTTGAGAAAATCGAAATTTTCCTCAGTCATGAGAAATTGCAGGAAATAATATCAGAAATAAAAGAATTAATGTAACAAAATTGAAAATCAATTATTACTCAATCTATTATTGAATAATAATTGAAGAATGAATGAGTCATAATTAATAATTATTCAGTAACAATTTTGCTCAATTCTCAAAAATTTCTGTTTTTTTTTCCTGAATGTCTGAGACAATTTCGCAATTAACGAATGTCTCCCCTTCAATTTTTTCACGACTTCAACACAAAAATGATCCAGCAATGACTTTCTCTAGGTGCTAATGAGGATCGTAATGAAGCGATTGCATAAATGATCTCGAAATTGCCATGCTGAGTGGATGGAGCATGCGACAAAAGCAGATGATTGAGTAAATAAATAAAAATTCATGAATTATGCAATTCCAGAAATTCCAGGGAATTTTTCCTCCAGGATTTCCCTCAAGCATTTATTTCCTCCAGGCAATGACTATAATAAGAGCTAAAAGTTTCTCGACGGATTCAGCCGATGGAGAGAATATTTTAGGGAAATATATTCATTCCCAATATCGATTTATTTATGTAATAATTAATATAAATAACTCTTAATTTTCGATTTTGTCAGAATTGCTCACGAGTTCGTCACTAATATTCATCGCCTGATGAATTAATTGAATAGATTATTCAAATCTCTATTTTTCACCTGTTATCGACAAAAGATTTCCCTTAATTCCCAATAAATTATCAGTAATTGTTAATGAATCAGAAATTTAAGAAAATTCCAAAAATGGAAAAATGAACGTTAAAATTGTAGTCGTCCTAAAATCTCCTGAATAATATAAATATTTTATTATATATAATAATATTGTGGATAATTTTATTATATACAATAAATTCCCTCGACTTTTCTTTGATAATTACTATAATTTCGATTTTATACGTGAAAAAATGGAGAAATTAATGTAAAAATTGTAGTATCCTGGGGGATATTTGGTTTTCTTTGGTAAAATACGAATTGATAATAACTGAGGCACAAAACCATGTGTATTGATTGCACAGTCACTGTTGTGAGTCAGACACTAGAATGAAGTATAATACTGGTGTACGCTAGGTACGTACGAGTTGGATACTGAAAGAACACTGAAAATACGAATGGAGGGACTAAAGTTTCGATCGGCTTCAACCACTGACTGCTTGCCAGAAAAGGTGGGGGAATTATTTGTAATCTTCACTTTGTCTGAGAATGCTGTGGTATTTGAAAAATATTTTTCTACGCAATCAATTTAAAAGAAAAACACATAATTTCATAAAAAATTCATTTAGCTGATTAAATAATTTTTTATCAATCCCAAATTTCTAAATTGAAAAGTATAAAAGAAATTTGGGGGAGGAATATATATTTTAGTGATTAAATAATTATTCGGAGTAATTAGGAATTTAATTGAAATTGAATTGCAATGAAAAATAGATTGAGAGTGTTAGTGAATTTGTGAGGGATGTAGTGGTGAATAATATATCGATTATTTCGATAACAGTTGATTATACCGAAAAATGTTATTAGACTTTTCAACGCGAAATTAAATTCTCTACAGAAAATTCAAATTATATTTTCTTCTATTCCTTCTCGTTCTCGAGATAATCGAGCGATTAATGAGAGACGCAGAATAGTTTCGTTGTAAAAACGAGGGCATAGAGACGAATCAGCCCGAGTCGTATAAACAAATGGCATAAATTCATTCTAAATTCATCCCAGATGTACCTGAGAAACAATTGCAAAACTCGAGCACGACTACAACAACTGTTACAGTTATCCTCCGTCACGTTCTAGTGTTCATCATAGTTCGATACAAAAGTAAAAATAATAGTCACGAGTCCATAAGACCTTTCAAAGTGAGTGGGAAAGTGTAGGCAGGTGCCAATACCATCAGCCGATATAATAATCACCAATGAAAATTGAACTAGACCAAAATTTAAAAAAAAACCTTTTAAAAACTTGCAACCCCCGGAAAAAAGAACTCCTTACTCTCCATAAACCCCCGATTATCCCAGTAATGACGGGGTTTAGGAGAAATTGTTAAATAAACTTTTTTTCAGGAAATCCAATTTTCTACAAAAAATTCAAATGACATTTTCTCCTAGCACCGCTGGTTCTCGAGATAATTACGTAATTGGACGAAGTAAACCCGTCGATTGGTTTTCTCATACGATCAGTTATCGCTAAATGCCTTTTTCTCCCACAAAAATAGTAAATAGACTCCAGAATTTATTTACACACCGCAGAGGGTAAATCTTAAACTGGGGAAGTAAAGAACTAGGAAGTAGTTCTATTTTCATCATGAGAGCATCTGGAGGACCTCCCACATGCCCCCAGGGTCTTGTGTTCCATGAATACATGATTTTTCTCTGATGACTGAGGCCATGACTCATCGACACATCACTTAACACTGTCAATATTTTGAGAACTACTCCTTTAAGAGTAGAGTACACTCTATTTGACTCAAGTGTATAAATTTTGCGGAAAAAACAAATGCAGGGATCAACACCAAGCGATTTACTGGAGACAGGACGTTGGACTATTACTCTATGAGGCTACAATAATTATTTTACACTAGGACCAGGAAAAGAATCCATCATTTTTCAATCATTCACTAACCAAAAATCATTCAATTCATATTTTTTCATTTTACAAGAATTCCCAATTTTTGAATGACCTCAAATTTTGATTTATCTCGTTAACGAGTCGTCCAGGAGAAAATTTCATATTAGACTTTCTGTCGGTAATTTAATTACCTCGAAAAAATGTGGTATGACATTTTTTTGGAGAATCATTCGTTACCGAGATAATTGGATAATTAGGTAACTTGTCGAGGAAATACTGAAGTTTTTTGATTTTTCGTTTGTTGTGGAATTTTTAATTAGCAAGAATGTTGGAAAAATTATGGAGAATAATTATGGAATATTGTACATACCCAGACTCTGTTGTGGCTGGATTGTTGTTGTTGTTGGGGTTAATACTGACGTTGTTGTTAGCCAAGTTGGAGTTTGAGTTTTGCTCGACTGTTCCCAGGAGTGAGGACCACTCCCTCATCACTTGCTCGCCCTGTGCCTCCAATTCTGAGATTATTGTGGCATCATCTAGCTCGTGAAGTGCAGGATTCGACTCCAGTCTGTATCCAGACACCAAAAATAATAAAATTCATTAAACAAATTAATAACTGACTGGCAAAGAGAAATTCCTCCAATTGAACGCTCCACAATTTATCGATTTATCTAAGGAACTGTTATATAGACAAAATAAAATTAAAAACATAGATAAACTATCAAATGACCTGTCTTGTAGCAAATTTAATCAGCTAGATAAAAGTTGAGGTTCTCTCAACGAATCGATCGGTTGTGCGATAAATCGATAATTCAATGCATCAAGCCCCTTGGTTTTCAGTATTTTAAAAAATATTTTGTAATCACTGAGAATTACCTTTTGTTAACCTCGTCGTAAGAGCTCACTTCACTGCACTCGTAATCCAGCATGAGATCGTCTGATGTTATAGATTCACATGGGGAGAGAGTATTGACACTTCCAGTTCTGCTGATTCTCCTGCAGTTTATTGGACTGCTCTCAACACTTTTCCCATGAGTTATCCCTGAAATCAATAATCAACAATAATGATTAATTTTCAATTATCTATCTACAATCTTGACAACAACAACAACTGCCAGCTTAAATTTATAACGAAATGATAAGCAAATGGGATAAATAATGAAAATAAAAGCACGTACGTGTCTTAGAAGGTTCAACAGGATTAGGTGCCTTTCCCTGTCCTCTGTCATCGAAAACGAGTCCCGGTTGATCAGCAATCTCATCATCGAAGTACTCCCTGCCCTCAGAGAGGCTCAACGAGTTGGATGCATTGGTGGGTGTCCCAGGTGAGTCATCCTCGAGACCTTTCTCCACGATTCTCTCCCTCTTCGACGTTTTATCAGACTGCGTGATGGAGGCTGTGAGACTCTCCACAAGACTGTCGACCGGCGATGTCTCGTCGATGAGAGTTGTCGAGGTAGCAGCAGCAGCAGCAAACGCAGTGTCCTCGATAGTCAGTAGTACTGATCTCAAAGTACTCTTGGGTAGAGTCCCACTCCTCGCAGCATTTGATATGCTCTTCATGGCGTCCTGGCTCGTGGTCAGAGGATCCCTGAGTACCTGTGTCGTCCTGTACTCGTCAATCGAGCTCAATGAGTACTCGTCAGCCATAGCCTCTCCATGCCCATACTCAGGATCATCAGAGCTCAGAGGACTGAAGTCCGATTTTATTGACGGAACTTTCTCAGACCTCGAACGATCCTTGTACACCTTCTCCTCACCGAGGCCCTCGTCGTAGCCCTCCGAGGAGGTTGTCGACATAGATGTAGTCGACTCCGTATATCTGTTATCCTTATTGATGACCCGCTGGTACTGGACAGTCCTCTCCCTGACGATGCCAGATCCTAGGGTGCCAGTGAAACCTTTTGCGAGTGGAATGACTGAAATTTCGGTGACAGTGCTACCATCCTCGACCTCTCTCACGTCAAAGCTTTTGCCACTGACCACCATCCTGAGGTTTCGGGGTCTTGCCACACCCCCACGTCTCCCAGGGGCCTCAAATTCCCCAGGATTATCAACCAGGTAACCGGGCTGAGAACCCAGACCTGAGTCCTCTGTTCCAGATCCTGAATGAGAGCCAGCAGAGCCCTTGGACACTGTCGAGACCTTTCTACTCTGATTGACAGCTGTTTTTGCTATTTTAGGGTTTGACTCTATCACCCTGACAGCGTATTGAGGCTGTGGCAGGTGGCTCGTGTGCAGGGTGTACTTGGACACTGGCTCGGGGATGCTGGACATTCTTCCTCGACCCTCCTGGACCACTGAGTGGTGGTAAGGAGGATTGTTTCCCTGACTGCTAGCAGATCTCGCTCGAGGATTTCCATGGATTTTATCGGGATTGAAGGGAGTGCGTGCCTTCTCCTGGGGGTAAACACCCTGGGGATGGCCGAATGGCGTCCCTGAGTGGCCCGAACAAACGTCACTGACTTTGTCAGTGAATTTAGCCTGCGGTGAGCGAAAACCAAAACGATTTGTACGCACTGATGGGCCTGATGTCTGCTCCTTCTTCGGGGGCGCCAGACGTGGTGTTGAACGACCCGATGATGCACTCTGCACTCGAAGTTGACGATCCTCCTCGTCGATTATACGACGTCGCACCTGCTCTGGACCCACGGATTTTGAACGCTGGGGTGACGCCTCTGGACCACCACTTCCTAGACCATCGCCTCGGGAACGACGTCGAAAACCGAACGAGATCGACGTACCTCGCGTCTGCGGTGCACCCCTCTTCGAGGAGCCCCTCGAGTCGCTCTGCAAAATCAGGAATTCAAAAATTAAATTTTTTGTTTATCTCAAAAAAATTTTCAAATGACTTTTCTCCCGTGATTGCAATAATATTTTTTGCTGAAAATTTCAGAATCTTCCAGATTCTAATAACAATAATAATCTTGATAGTTAGTCTTTTCTTTATGATTTATAATTTATGTTTTTTATAAATTGGAATTGATGTTTAAAATGTTTTACTCTCACTCCAGTGTAAATCCGATATCAATTCCTCGGAATTTATAACTTTTCGATAATAATTTAGCCACAATAAATTACATAATTATTGATAACTATTAGTTTAGAAATAATGAGAAATGTTTCTCTACTAATGAACTCATAAGCCATAATCCTCAGACGTTAAACTGTCGACTGAGAGTGAAAATTGTCGACTGGCCACAGACTGGTGTTCTATTTTGAGTGTCTCCTCGAAAACAGGGATGGCAGTGGTTTCCGTCATCGTATCCCCCAAAAGACAATTACAACTCTAAACTGGCACTCAAATCTCCTCCTCAATTGCCCATGAAATTAAAACCCCATAAAAATCACCCACTCCTAAATAAATTAAACAATTAACAAAAATTATCCACGAATACCTTAAAAACAGTTCTATTCTCATTATCAATTGTCTAATTATCTCGCCAACTACTGCACCCAGCAGAACAAGTCATAAGACCTTTTTTCTAGGCAATTAAATTCTCAACAAAAAATTCCTCTAACATTTTCCCCTGAATCCACCGGTTCTCGAGATACAAATCAAATAATCGTTTTTGGAACACTTTCTAACGAATTGATTAACAAAATTCTCTCACCCCTGAAGAATGATAATAAATCTCATCCTTCTCATTCTCCTCGGCATCTTCCTCTTTAAACCGAAGTCCATACCGATAATCCATGACTATCCAGAGTTTCGATGATGATCAATAAATGAATCCACAGAAATAATTTGTCTTTTTCAATTTAATTGCGTTTTATGGTGAAAATCGAGAATTCTGACGTCACCAGTGGCTGATCAGTCACAACTCCATCCCCTTGATCACCTGACGAGTGTCACTCCCCGATAATAATCGCCCGATTACGGAATACCTCTAGATATTCGTTATCGAGTGATTTACTCCAACGATTATCGTTATTTTAGATTTAATTTTCGAGAGGATCCGGCGCCCTGTGACATCGCTCCTTCTGATACGCACACCGGACAACCCCTAGGTGAAATTAAAACCCTCAATACCCAACGAGGGAGATCGATTGAACGTAAAGCGCCGGCGTCGCGACGCCATTCCACGAGCAAAAACCACAGGGATGAATTCACTAGCCGAAGAATGAATTAAATCCCTTCTTCCATTTCACACCGATTTATCCCGAGAACCGTCCCCCAAATGTCTCTTCAAAACACATAGAAAAATCGTAAATTGTCCAAGGAATCCAATGCCGTTTGAATTAAAACGCTGGGACCAATAGTTTCCGAGAAATTCCTTAAAAACCGGGGACCGCGAAGGGCCCTTTTTGCTCCACCATCCACAGGAGCGGAGAAAATCGCAAAAATCAAAAAGATTTCTCGCAAAATTAATTCTATAACAAATCAAATATCGAGTGCAATTAAATCGTGTAATAATCAATATCAATGAATTAAATAATTATTTAGCGAAAATCTCCAAATTCACTCGTGAAATTCAGGGATAATTGTTAGAGTCATTGAATTTTTTTGATTATCGAAGTGAATTATTTTTATTTCTGGTATCGCTGGTTGTCGGAATGCTTCGACATTTCAACCTGAAGATGGCAAAGGGATGGCCGACGGAGATGACTCACGTGGTCAGACCGGCGCCGCAAACCGGTGATCGATACCCACTTTTCTAACTGCGCAGGGCTAATTTCAAACCGAAAAGGTCTTCAGTGCACCAATCCTAAGGAATCGTTACCCTTGTCTTATTTTCGTACAAAATTAACAACTGATGAATCATCGAATCCGTCCTACGGGTCTTCATCCCTCCGAAAGTCTCATTTCGAAATTTTTCTTCCATTGAAACTAAACGATAATTTATCGACTAATTGAATTCAATTACACGAGCGATTGAGGATTCAATGTAATTAATTCAAATGGAATTAATTGTATTGATAAAAAATTGGGAGCGGATTTGAGTGAAAAATTTAATTATCATGATGGAGGAGAAATAAAATTGTCTCGTCATTTGATTAATTGCCTAATTATATGATTTTCCCTGGTGATAAATCTGTCAATTATTAACGCGTCTTATCGCGGTTTTAATAATTTGTAAAGTCATGGAGAATAACGAGGGTCCTGAAGCCCTAGCAGGACATTGAACCTTCAGAGCCTGAACTTGAAATGATTGCGCATGCGATCAGCTGATCATCCTCTCAAAGAATTTCAAGTACTCACGCACCATTCAAATATTTCTGTCAATTTTATTTCCACGATTTCCCGATAAATTATCAATTTAAAATATTGAATCCCTCAAGCTATTCCTTCACGGATAAAATAAATTATTACATTTATTATTAATAATCAATCATCATCAATGATTATTCTATCGGGTAAAATACTCCATGAATTTAAAATTCAATGGAAATTTTCCATTTCATGGGACTCAGGTGCAATTGCAGCTGTGGAAATAGCAACAGTTCATTACAAAAGATTTTTAAAATGGCACACGTACGAGTGGAGGATCATAGGAGGAATCGGCGATCCACGAAGTGGAACGGACTCTAGTCCCGGGTTTACGGATTTTATCAGTGCGATGTACCTCGGACTGTAACGGGAGTTGGAATTAAATCTCCAAAGGGTTTTCTTTCCTCACGGAGAAATCTCTATCCCATTCTCACGATAATTCCACTTCAGGGTGTCCCACGCTCTTTAAAGTTCATTTTACAATGGATTTTTCATCACTTGCGAGGGATTTTCGTCGAAATGTCAAATTATCATGAATCATTAATTCCTGATAATTATTTTATATTCATCACTTGTCCCAGGAGAGTTCAATGGACTTTGCGACTCCATTAACAATTTCTCCAGTCGATGACAGATTTTTATCATCATTTTTCTCATTAAACGAGTTATCAGAATTTTTTCAAAATTACCGGGATCTCGATTTTCATTTATGGGAGTGATTAACGGGATAATTATCTCTCACAAAAAATATCGGTCAGTCTGGAGTGAATATCTCCGGATTGACGGCTGCAATCGAAAATTTCATCAGAATCTTTTCTACGGGAAAAATCGAGAGCTACAAAAAAGTTTCTACGAAAAATTTCGCTAGCTCCCTCCACTCCGGAAATAATCCACGATTTCGCGAGTGATTTGAATCCAAACAGTTTTTTTTCGTCTAATCATCCACCCCATGATCACCGAAGGAATAATTAATCTCCGTCATTGTTAATTTATGGTTTGAATTAAAAAGGGATAATTCTCCAGTGCAGTGATGGAGGATACCATGCAAAGTAGAAGAATCTGCTACAAAGAAAATGTTCATGACGCGTGTGCCACGTGAAAGTAGAAAATAAGGTTTCAGGGATGAAATAGTGTGGGATATATCGATGAGAATGGAATACAATGTGTGTACCATTCTCCATATCGAAAATAACAACATCTCTTACGCATCGGTGAATTCCTCGCACGCATCGGTGACCAACAGGATACCAAATGTATTTTTTACCCCATTCGTCTTCCTCCAAGAGTATGATTTATTGACTAGTTTTCAATTCAGCGCGAAAGGAAAATTCGCGATTACATCATTCTCATTTTAAACTGAGATATGCACGAGATTGCCCGATAATTCCAATGATATTCGAGACTCACTGAAATTTTTTAACAATTTTTGGACATTTTTTGGTATTTTTTTGTGGGTTATTCAGCATTGACAATTGTCAACAATTTTCCCGCAATATTTATCAGCGGATATCTGGCGAACCAGCAGTGATAAAAATTCAGGGTAAACTCCAATGGAAAGCCCTTTTAATTCTGCAGATTCGACATATTTTCTTTTTTTTTTCCTATTATTCTATCGCGAGATATAAAATTTTCTCCAATAGGACACAACGAGTATATCCAGCACCCGCAGTGATGAAAGATAAATCGACCCAAAAAAATTCTTTTAATATCGCTCCGGTTTAAATACAAGTGTTTCATTACAAGTGAATTCACGTGCTCCGTTCACAAAGGGAAAGCACTTGCAAGTACTTGTGGGTCGTTTTTATCAGTGCCCCTGTGACAATCACCTGGCACTCCCACAGACTTCCATTTAATCGTACCGTTACTAATCAACCCGAGGCAACCACACTTGTACCATAAACACTTGAAAAATCGAGACGAGAGGATAAACTCATTCCGATGTAACGAGATTATTATCGATGGCGTTAGTTTCGAGACGTTGAACTTACTCCGTATTAAATGGCAAGTGCTACGGCCTCTCCACGAGGTTGACCTGCTTTCGAGAAACAATCTGGTACTGATTTCTCGATCCATCGCAGGTGACTGATCAATACACCATTATTCCCATTTTATAATTAAAAAATCAATTACTCCTATTAATTATCCCGAATATTTTATCCATAAAAACCTAAAAATTTTCAATTGCACTAAAAAAATTAAGGGATTCGTCAATAAAAAATTTATCAATAAATTCCTGTCACTCTGTCGTTAAACAATATAAAATTGACTTGAAATTTTAAGTGTAATTTTTAACCACGAAGTGATATCATGTTTTCCTGCGGTCTTACACAACCTTGAAGACATCCTCATACATTATTTTCCCCCGGTGTAATAATAATTGACAAAAATCCCCGGGCATTACGTTAATTAAATTCCCAAGAGTCCACGAACCGTGAGACACGCACCCATAATTCCACATTATTTTTTGTCACTCAAGAATGTCAAGAAAGGGAAAGTGTAAATACTGTCTTCACCAGGAAAATATTTTATTCTATAGTAAACAAATTCGACGCCTACTGTGTAATCGATAGCTCCCATAGGAGCTGCGTTATGCGGTTTCGAGATGAGAGGTTCAACGCACTTTCTCGTCACGCATTTTGACCCAAAAAATGATCCCATAATGTAATAATTATCTCTACTAATTACGAAAACCAAAAAAAAACTCTCGTAATCGATTTTCAGTTTTTGAGCCGATATTTTTCGTCGGTCTTTCGCGAAAACCTTCAGAACCGCAGGTTTTAGCGAAAAATGCCAAATGACTTTTCTGTGGCGAATTTAAGTCTCTACAAAAAAGGTCCTATGGCCTTATCCTCTTAACCCAGTGGTTTTTGAGATATTGGGATTTTAACTGGAAGGCATACTTTTGACTGGGTTTTTTGAGTTTAGATGGTAATTAATTTTATTAATTACCTTATTTTTGGTGGTTTTGTCCATGATTCTGTACGACGATGCTGCGTAGACGGCCCCCGCCTTACGAGACACGCATTGCCCCATATAGATCCAACAACCTCACCACTACACCACCTAGTCATCAGAAAATGTATTTTAATACAAATGATAAATCAGGATTGAGTGGAGACAACCCATTACAATTGATTAATAATTATTTCACGAAGAGAATGCAATTCCCATCACCTTTCAGGACAAACCAATTTCCCATGCAAGCAAATAATCGTCAGTGGAATTAATTACACGATAATTAATAGATTGTCATAATTGATGGTCAAGCCAATTGGAAAACGTTTCTCTGCAAATATCTTATGCGGGTGGAGGTTTAGAGGAAAGTGTAGAGGAACTTTTTTGTGGAGTAATAAATTTTCTAGGGAAAAGGTTCTCTTAGGTTTTTTCGTAATTCCAATAGATACTAAGATATTCGCGAAAAATCATGTGACAGGAGAGGAAAATGGAAAATTCAGGATTGGGGCAGTATTAACTGCTATCAGGTCAATGAATCATACCGTTCTGCATTGGAAGAGTTAATTGCGAGAATAATGATGACGCTCGGTTAAACTCTGCCGGAATAAATGTCTGATCGTCGAACCACGAAGTACTGAGTAATAAAAATTACTGTGGATAGTAAAAATGGAAATTCATGGAAGAATTTCTAGTTTTCATATTCATCGGCGGTGAGCTACAGAAAATTGAACAATTGTTCATTATTCCAGGTATTTACATGATTTCCACAATTCCCGGAAAAACGATCTCACACGGTCCTTGAGTTCATTTTGTGGGAAGATGAAGTAAAAGTCAACTTCACTTCAACCTATTCCTCAGGTTTGTAACTTTTACTTCCTGGCTATGGTCTAGAAGTCCTTGATAATGAGCTCCAGCATTTACACGAGTTACATTTTGCGGTATTCGTGGCTTGAACGTGAAATGCATAATGAATAACAAATTCTACATTTTCGTTTATTTTTTAAACAAAATTCTACTGCGTACTAGACATGCATGTCACTCTCTCGCGAATATCTTGAAAGCCGTTGATCTGACCGAAAAAAATTACTCTCAACTTTTTACGGGAAAATTAATTCTCTACAAAAAAGTCCCCCAACTTTTTCCTCTAGCTACCACGAATTGAGAGATATTTCCAAAATAATCGGGTTCAAATTTTTTCGATTAGTGGATTCGAGTGTAAAATGGTGAATATTCATTTAGGATTAATGAGGATGAAATTTGAGGAGTGGCTCATCGTTCCCGGGAGGCCAAAGAAATGGAACAGAACTGGGGAAAAAATCGATTGAACCCTTAGAGTTCCAGTCGCCCTCGAAACTGTAGATTAATTTTACCTCCCAAGTCTATTTTCAGAAGGAAAATTACTGAATGATGGGAGTTTATTTTTTCAAGGGTCTTACAGGGTTCCACTGGTGATTCCAGATAATTTATTGTGACTTGGAGACAGCCCACGCTGCCCATAATACTAGAGAAACCCGTTTGTGATTGCATTCTTCTGAATTTAATGTCAAAAAATGAATAAACTGAATCTTTCACGAATGCCTTCTCAGCTGTAAACCAGGAAAATCCATTCTAGAGTAAATTCTCAATGAACGAGCAGTGAATTGTGCACGAAATGCAATCGAGATCATTAATGTAGTCAATTAAAGAGAAATTATGGTAATCGAGTTAATTGAGAAAGTTAATCACAGGAATAATGAAATTCCCAACGAAAAACGAGGAAATATCCTACCATTTGCTAATTCTGCAATTATATCGTTAATGAGTAATTATAGAAAGAAATGTCATACGACATTTTTTCTTAGAAATTGAATTCTGAACCAAAAAGGTCCTATAAAGTTTCTTGTGAATCCACTCTATAGTGAGATAATCGCTCCTTTATCAAAACGGTAATCCTGGAGTATCGATGAATATCGTAAACAAAAATTCTGTTTAATTCCGCAATTATCTCATTAACAATTGGTTCTAGCAGGAAATATCATATGACATTTTTTACCGGAAATTTATTTGCGCACAAAAAACGTCCAATAAAGTTCCTCATAAATTCACTCGTTAGCGAGATAATGACCTTTTACCAACTTGACTATTATCAAGTCAAGATGAAAATCTCAGGCGAACGATGAAAGTGCTATAAAAACGTGAGGAACACGTAATTATGAATTGAGCGTGAGACATGCGTGACTAATACTTCAGATAGGCTACTTTGTAAACACAGGACAGTAGAAAGTTTTGTAAGAAAAAAAAGAAGAGGGATAGGTAAAAAATTTGGTCGTGTAATCAAGTGTTGAGTCGTCTTGTTATGGATTACTTGAACTCCTGGTGCGCATGCACACTCTAGATACCCTGACACCCATTTTCCGAAAAATTTTCCCATTTTCCATCACCTCCATTCCGTAATAATCCACTGCACCAGACAAATTCATGACTAATTCAGTAGGGAAATGGTGAAAATTTATTCTGTCAAAATAAAATATTCAGTATTTTACCACTTCCTCAGAGAATTGTCTCATTAAACAATTACAATTCTCAGTTTACTCACGAGAAATACTTTCCACGACGTTCACTTGACAATTCCCACGAACACAAATACACTGTCAAATTAAACAAAACAATGATAATGAAAAATTATTAAAAATAACGCAATGAACTATTCAAAATAATTGAGCCCCAGTGAAATAAAATTATCAAGATCGAGATGTATCGAATTTTACTCCTTTCGCTCTTTGCATCTCCCAAATTATTGATCCTAAGAGAAAATACGACAAGACATGTTTTCCTGGAAATTTAATCAGCAAACACAAAGTCCTGTAACATTTTCACAGTAGATCGATAATTCTCTCGATAAATCGATCATTACCGAAAACGTCAATCACCCCATCTCGTTTTCTCAGCTCTGGAATTATTTTCTGAATTGTCATTTTAAAATACAAATGAAAGATCTATTTTCTGGCCATCGTTTGGTTTTTCCTTTCATTCACAACAAAAAAAATATCAAATATAGACATAAACCCGATTGCTCCATTTTATCTCATTCCCTCGCAAATTAAATTAAATTAAATTTTTAATGGTGCTAACTCCGATAACAATTATGGATAATAAAATGTATAATAAAATTCCTGAATGCGTGTTCGAGTCATAACCACAATGTATGGAGAATTATCTTGACAAAATCCGAGGATAAATAAAAAAACAACAATAATTCGTAGTCGATATGAAAACAAAATAACTCACCTCTTACAAAGCTAGATTTTTCGGGCACAACGAGTGTTTTCGATCCAGACATTATAAATCCTTGGAGACAACTATAAAGGGCTCACATCAAGTGCAAGCATGGCACACAACACTTATTACACTATTAAATCTCTCTCATCAGCTGATCAACTCGATGATTAAATGTTTGGACAATTTATTCAATTATCGCGAGTCTCTCGTGGTGTTTCGATTGGAATTTAATAATAGACCGATTGAAGTTTTACCATTGAGTTTTAACGCACTGACTGTTTGGTTTCACGTACGGTGAAGAAGTGCACCACCTGTCATTCGGGTAATGTTCAATAGCAATGAACATGCGTCGTGACGTCACGTCCCGAGTATTTTTTGGTGGGGGATTGAGGGCTCTGAAGTTGCCGCATTACGCGATAACTTCAGGTTTTCAAGTTTTCCCGCCTTTTTATATGCGATTAATTTCTTTTAAATCCCGGGATCCTTTCATACATTCGGATTTTTTTAATAATTCGTATAACTTTACAAAATTGTAACCAAATCAAAGAGCATAAAATATTTTTCAAAAACATATGTAAATAGTCTTTTTCAATTCCTTTGGGGATAAATTGTTAAGTTGATAGAAAAAAAAGAAAACGTTCTTCAATCTTCGTTTAGGGCTTGGATAATGAAACATTTAGAAAAATTTACACAAAACTGCTTTATTTCTTCGTTGAAAAAGAAAACCTGAAGTCAATAATTTCAGAACTGATTTTCTGATTTTTTCACAATCGAATAATCTCCCTCGTGCGATATTCACTGATGAATCAAGCTTTATAAAAAAAATCCGTAACATGGAGATTATTTGTTTGTAGTCCAGCCACGCCAGAAGGAGGCGATGCTGGCAGCAGCACTCGTCACCAGGCCCTCAGCGACACTCTGATTCACCTGAATGCTCGATATCTGCTGATTTAATATCGTACCAGGAATTGGTACTGTCATCTCAGGACACGCGACATTCGGTACCTGCGAAAAATTTAAATAATCGATTAAAACAATTACATTGTGCCATTCAAATGCAGAATACTTACGGCTTCCCACTCCCAATTGAAGGTGTCCTCTTCCTCGTCTGATGCCGAGTCATCGCTATTTTCGAGGTCAGACGTCAGCTGGCAGTGGAGCTGATCAACAATCCCTGGATCCACCTCCATGGGGCCAATCCTTCCCAGATCACTGATCCCTGTATTCAGCAGGTGCATTAGATTCTGGAGTGTGTGCATTGGGTGTAGTACATTGATATCTGTATTTTGTGTGAAACACAAATGGAGAACATTGCTGTTGAGACTAGCAACTTTTCTCGCAAATTTCTGGTCTGACATCTCGTTACCGCAGAATTCCCTGTTAATTTTTATATTCATTAAAAATAAATAAACTTGCAAGTCACTATTTACAGATAATAATTCAATTAAACCAATAAAATAAGAAACACTGATAGAATTAAAAAATTGTTACCCATGAGATAATTTGTAAGGTAATCTGACATTGACGTAATACGCGAGAACATTGACAAGTTGTGTGGCATATGTTAATGCAGCACTAATATTGTACGCTGGAGTGTGCACAAAATTCTCCTTATTATTTCCTGGGACACCCTCTTTATTGGCAGTAACTGCAGATAAAAATAATAATTAATGAATTACTCGTGATCATCAGGAATAGGAATGTCTTTAATGCAGAATAAATTACCCCAAAGTGAATATGCACTGTAATCTCCAGAACCTGGCAATGTTGGAGCTACTATTCGATGCGGTGTCTCTAAACTATTTTCAGAATCACTAATCCATCGTCCTCGCACGTACGAAGTACCTGAAGCATCTGCCAATGCACATTTCACAACATCGGCGTTTGGACTCTCCTCGTCACTGCTGCATAAACTGATGGAATGAAAAATTAATTAAATTCCCATAAATTAATTGAGGAAATTGGAAAATTACCTTCGATTAGTCTCGACTTCGTTCAGAGGAAAAATGTACTGAGTCAACTGTTTGGCTGCTATCCTTATGACTCTCTTCAACTGCTGTCTCTTCCTATCGACGCCCTCTTTCTGCTTCTCCTGTTTCATTTTAAGTCCATTAACGAATTTTCGTAATTTCTCCACTCTCTCCTCGTCCCTCGGAAGACGCAGAGCCATTTGCGAATTGGCGTCCTTCAGGATATTCAGTCGCTGGTGACCTGTTTTCGAATTTATTTGTATTCATTTATGACGAAGTCATCGCTCAATTCGTGATAAATCTATTCATCTAAAGAGATAAAGGGTTGAGAGGTCAATTTATCTAATACTCTTTTAACTCTGGATCTATGGGAGATAACGAAATATTAGTAAAAACCTTTTGTGCAGCTATCATTCCACTTTACAAAAGAGGTCCTGAGAAAGATATTGTTATCTCCCTTAGATCCAGAGATATTCCTCGAAAATTCGCCTGGGGAGCAAATGAACTTGTTACCCTTCAAAAAATCATTTCATCTTTTTATTACTGATAATTCCATTACCTTTCGACAGACTCTGCTTCGTCTCATTAACTAGAGTGTGCAGGAGTTTCACTCTTTCCTTGCACATATTAATATCACATATCTGAAAGAAAGAAGTAATGAAGAAAGAATTAAAATTTTTGTTACTGAGTAAATTCAAGTTACTCACCAATTTATCCTTCTGCCTGTGTCTCTCAAATGCCTTCGCCCATTTTTCCTCGAGCTGGGATTTGGCTGCCTTCAACCGTAACAACCGTAACTGTTTATCCGCAAACCTGTCGACAATATTATTAAAAACCCATATTTATTATTCTGTCGAGGAATATCGATTTAATTTCATTTTAATCTATTCTTCAGATCCTCCATTATTCTTTCTGATCGATAAATAATTGAAATTAAATAAAAATGAAGTGGAAGTGCAATTACAAGATTAATTTTAAATCAATAACACCTAGAGACTGTTGTAATATTTATAAATTCCTACCCTCCAATACAGAAATAAGATACATATTCATTGTCTCAATGACAAATAAAGTAACTCCGCAGTTTCTTTTGACACCGATACCTTTCAATATAATATCTAGTAGATTAACATATAATGTAATCTAATTGATTATAAAGTATGAATATGTTTCAACACTATCACTATCACTTTTCTATCTTCAAATATTATTTTCTGACATTTGATGACACAGAGGTGCAAAATCGATGAGAAAAATTCAAGGCAATCTAGCTCCGGAGTGAATTTAATGACTTTCCAAAACTGGAATAATCTCGTGACAGGATTAATGAATAATAGAATAAATTGAATGAGAATATCGAAAACAATGAGAACTTATATACTCGTTCCAACCATTTTAACGTACCGTTCAGAGTAAACAGGCGTAGAATGACCAAAATCTCCATTGTGAACGCACTGTTTGCAGTAAAAAACACGTCTATTGTTGTGACAAAGTGGACACTTGAGCAAGTTAACACTCAGACGATCGGACACGTCTTCCAACTCTGAGGATAATTGAAAATCAGCTGGTGCTGTGCAGGATCCTTCTGAGCTGCTTGTCGCCATAACCAACAATGATGTGCGCTTGTCAGCATTCGACTCTTGTCACTTATCAGCTGATTTACCCAATCCCTCCAACGTTTCTCCCTCCACTCCACTGAGATAATGCAATGATAAATTCAGAAGTCACTGACAGATCATTTCACGATTTTCTACGTCTCTGTTGTTTTTATTTTTTTATTTAATTTTGGGTGACTTTTCATTCTTTCTTTTTCAGATCTTTGGAGATCTGCCTGAATGTTTGGGCTGTTATGTTGCACAGCTGCTCTAGGAGATATTTCAATTTGTTTGTTTTGGAATTTTTTGGGTGCTTGGTGATTTATTAGGATGAATTGAGTAAAAATGGGAATATTCCATTTTTCATAATTATTGTTAAGTAAAAACATAATTCTCTGATTAATTCATTGGTTTAATTTGATTAATTATTCTTGTTTAGATAAGAACTTGAAGAGAGATTTTATGAACAAGTCTCATACATTGAATTATGCCAAGTACATATCAAGTGCATTTACTCATTTTTCAATTTAATTCAATGTTAATCCAATTTCAATGTTATCTTAAATATTTGAATTATCCCTGCACTAAGAAATGATTCTCCGCATTAAAATCCACAAAAAATCTTGACATTCAAAATTTCGTTGACTGCCAAACTCCTACCCCGCAGCCCGACGAAAAATTCAAAAATTCGCGGATTCCGCGTTGACGCATGCTCACAGAAGTCCGAATCCCAAAAACCTGAAGACCCCCAAAAACCCGGCCTCCCCCAACAAGTGAACCCCCACCACCCTCCAGCTGACCATCCCCCTCCTGATTCCCCCCGAAAATCCATTCAAAATGGAAAAATCCAAAAAATCCCCTCCCACCCCAAAACCCCGAAAAAATACTCCCGGCGTAGTGACCGTCGTGATTGGCGAGGGTGCATTGCCCCGACGAGGTCGAGCCCCATTGGCTCCACCGTCTCTCACACACGCAAAATCCTCTCAACCCTCTTCACCCCCCCTAACCACCCCATTAACTGCACAACGCAGCACACAATCTCGCGAATATCGTCTCCAGAGTGACGAGACTCAGTGACGTCGCCATCGCCAGCGCCCCGATCCCCAGGTGACCCCGAAAAAAGCCCCACCAACACCTTCCCCTGGGACACGTCCGGATCTCCAAAAAATCATTGGCCAAATCTGTGAAAAAAAATGACAAAAATTAATATAAAATCGTGTAAAAAAGGGTGAAAAAAAATAATTGACAACCTGGGGGATGAGCCTCTCGTCCCTGAGCTGTACCGGTCTTCTGTCGGCGTTGTAGTGGGGGCCCTCAACTCGCCGGCGTCGAAAACCGGGGGTTACACAGGCAACCAAGAAAATAAGAGGAGAGTCAACGTCTCGTCGTCGCGCGCGTTAAAAAGCCTGATAAAGAGAATAAATAGGATAAAAAAAAAGGGGAGAGAAAAAAAAAGGGAGAGTAATTCCTCGACGGCATTTGTTTTTGGCTGTTACAGTTGACAATTGTCAGTGATAATTGAAAGGGCTTGTGGTAAAATGGCAGGTGAGAAGCGCAGTCAAGAGGTTGAGGAGGCACAGCGCAACGAAAATATCGTTGTCGTTGACATCGAGGGAACGACCACCAGCATCAGCTTCGTCAAGGTAACAAAGAGCATGGCTCCTCTTTTTAACATTCTTTAATTCATTTGTACACTGATAGTACGATTTTTCAGGGGTTTTTGACATTATTTGGGGGTAATTTTGGATTTTTTGAGGCACGCGGATCATTTTTCTTCTTCTTCACTCTTTTTTTTTAGCCAGTTTTTTTCTCCTCTCGTCTTCCATTGCTCTCGTTCTCGGGGCAGGGGCTGGGTAACGCCGGCGAAAAACCAGTTCGCAGGATTTGCCGTGGAGATGCCATTGCATTGGGAGGGGACGATGAATTTTGGGATGTTTTTCAGGGGCATTTTTTTTGGGGGGGTTGGTTGAGCTTTTGGAGGGATTTTTCGGAATTTTTTTTGGGGTTCGGGTGGTTTTAGGGGTGGGTGGGGGCGAGGGATTGATCTGGAAGGGAGGGTTTGTTGATGAGGGGTTGGGGTGGCTTTTGGGGAGTTGGGGAGGTTTTTTTCGGGGAGGAAGGTTACTCGGGTCATTGTGTAGGCGTGGAACTATCGGTAAACAGCGAACCTGTGTTTTTTGAGGGGTTTTTTGGGGAGGGTTTTTTCGGGGATCGATTTTCGGAATCTCGGGAGGCGGGGAAATTATTTCTTCAGTGATAATGACGGGGTTATGACTGTCCAATGTTCTGGAAAGGTAATTGACGGTGTGAGAATTTCGGTTTTGGTTGTCGCGATTTTCAGAGATTTTTTTGGAGCCTCGATTTTTTTTTGGGGGGTACTTTTTTGGACGGTTCACTGTCGATGTCCTGAGGAAAATTTTCTTATAGATCTAGATATATTTCGAGAATATTTACTAAATTCAAGATAAATAAATGTAGGACAAATGAAAGTTTGAGTGTCAGGTTATTTTTTTTTTTTCGTGGCACTTACGCTCCTCTGTTATTGAGATGTCGATTACCGGATTCTTTAAAGAGAATTATATTTTAATGATTGGATCACATGAATTTATTGGGCTTTAATATATTTAGGATAAGTACTCCAAATGATGGAATGAATAATTTTGAATTGTTTTTTTCTATCGGAACACGTGGCACGACTAGAACAGAAAGAATTATTTTTGATACATATTCGTTTATCTGAAATTTTAATAATCTAAAATTTGAAGAATATGCAGAGGTTGGTAAATGATTTAATTATCCCAATTAGTGACACTCCTCTTGAAAAATTGAAACCGTTTCATGCAAATTTCCATTTAATTTCTGCACGAGCTATATTCACCCATGCTATTTTCCAAAATTATATCTCCACCCCATCGTTTCCTCTTGTTCCAGGAGACGCTCTTCCCTTACGTACGTGAGCATTTGAAAGACTACATCGAGAAGAACTGGGATAACGCAGAGTTCAAAGAGGACCTCGAGAAGCTGAAAGAGCAGGTAAATCCCCCAAAACGATATTTCACCTACACCCTGAGGACGAGTCCCAAGTTCCTCGTGGTGAACTGCCAAAAATATTGATCGAAAATTGGTTGGCAGTTTGACGAGAGACTGGGGAACACCTGGTAGTTGCCAATTGTCTTGAGGATATCTGACATTTTTCCCGGAAATATGGGTGGCCCCGTGGGTCTCCTCCTGGGGACATGGGGGAAATGGGTGAATGCTCGAAAGAGGGTGGGGGGTGGGGGGGGGGGCCAACAGCTGTCTGAGGCTTCTGACCTGGGCCTCAACCGATCCCTTTGTCCCAGAAAACAGCCAGTCAATCTCACCAGTCTCTGCATGAATAATAACGACCCCATTCCCCACTGCTCCACCAATAAATTAAAGAGACTCTTATCCAGAATTCGAGGTTTAAGTAACTGTTAAAAATCAGAGGTTAACGATTATGAAATCATTAGAATTGGGAAATGTTGCAATGATTTTCTGTTATCTTCTGGCGAGAGTGTGGGACAGGTATCGATGGTGATGGTGATGGGGATTTGATTGATTTTTTTCATTGCAGGTGAAAAAAGATGAGACTGATAAGGTGGAAGGGCTCGTTGCCATAATTTCGGGTACACCTGAAGAGGAGAAGGAGACACTCGTGAAGAATGTCCTATGGCAAATGGATAATGATCGTAAGACCGGTGCTCTCAAGCAACTACAAGGTCACATGTGGCGAGAGGCGTACAAGTCTGGAGCTGTCAAGGGCCAGTGAGTTTTGAGAAATCCCTGAAATTCAATCATTTCAATAAATCTGACAGAAAAATAATTAAGGCCTGGATGGAATTTTCGGCTAATACACACGTCCATCTGGCTCTTAATTAATTTATTAAATTATGTTCTAATATTAAAATATTCCAGAATATTATAATTTTCGGAATTATCATTGATGCATGATTCTTCAACTGGATGAAACTTACAGCTGTGAATTTTTCGAGTGAAATATGAGAAAAATCTTTTTATTCCTCGAAGAATAATTCTCCAGAGTGTCTTAAATCCTGAAACCCTGCTTGCAGCGTCTACGACGACGTGCCAAAGGCCCTAGAATCCTGGACATCAGCAAGCAAGAAGATCTACGTGTACTCGAGTGGCTCAGTGGAGGCCCAGAAATTGCTGTTCGGTCACAGCTGTCACGGTGACCTGCTCCCTCACTTTTCAGACTACTTTGACACAGAAATTGGTGCTAAGGTTGACTCATCGAGTTATAAAGCGATCCTCTCGAAGCTGTCAGCGAGTCCCTCGGACGTTATCTTCCTGACAGACGTTGCAAAAGAAGCAAAAGCAGCCTCAGAGGCGGGCTTGTCCTCAATCCTGGTGATTCGTGAGGGCAATGAGCCCCTGTCAGTGGAGGAAAAGAGCAGCTACCCAACTATCCAGTCCTTCCTAGACATCACCTTCGTTGCACCAACGAAACGCCAAAAGTTGGAGGAAATTCCGAAGAAAGACGACGAGAAGTCGGAGATAGAGAGCAAGATCGAGGGTGATAAAAAATCGGAGAAAAAACCTGAAGCTGAGCCCGAGGACGTGGAGATGACGGATGTGAGTGAAAAAAAATCTGAAACCGAGACGAAACCTAAAGAGGCCACTCCCACCCCTGAGCCAGAGGCCCCCAAAGCTGCAGCAGAGGTTGGAGAGGTCGTGGATAAGACCCCAGAAGAGTCCCCAGTCCCTGAGAAGCCCTCAGAGGCACCAAAAATCGAAGAACCTGAGAAAATGGAAGTGGAGAAACCAGAATCAAAGCCTAAGGAGGAGGAAAAGATCCCAGCACCCGAGGAGAAAAATCCTGAAGTTGACTCAACGAAATCTGCACCCCCAGTGGACATAAAATCGCCAGAAAAATCCGAGGAAACCCCAGAGCCACCTAAATCCGAATCACAAACCAAGAAGATCGAGCCTGAGACTGTAACGAAACCAGAGCCTGAGGAAGCAAAGATCGAGGAGAAAATTGTGGAGAAAATCGTGGAGAAAGCCGTGGAGAGCCCTGAAAAGGTCCCTGACAAGACTGACAAACCTGAAAAATCTGATAAACCTGATAAAACCGAGGAGAAACCTGAGGAGAAGGAGAATGGTGAAGAAGTGAAGCAGAATGGTGAGTCCAAGGTTACGATAGACGAGAAGGCGATAGAAGTTAAAGCTGAGGTCAATGGCAAGGATATCAGCAGCAAAGAGGAGAAGTCTGAAGAAGTCAATGAAGTTGTCAAGGACGTCACGGATAAGGACCTGAAGGATGTCAAGGAGAAGGAGGAGGATAAGGGTGACGATAAGGAGAATAAAGAGAAGAGTGAGAAGTGTGAGAAGAGTGAGAAGAGTGAGAAGAGTGAAGAGAAAAAAGTCAATGGGAGCTCCGAGACTGACGAATCACACAGAAATCGCAGTGACACCAATGATACCACGAAGAATGGCGAGAGCTCTGAGGATAAGGACACCATCAAGGTGAAGAAAGTGGTGGAGAGCATCGTCGATGGGGCTGCTGAGCCTGAGGTAGTTCCACCAGTTGCCGTTGTTGCTGCGACGTCCTAATTAAATGAGACTCGACAATGCAACATTTAATCCTTCGATTTTTAATATTAAAACAAAGTGACAAAGTAATTGAGTAATTGAGATGTCCTCATGCATAACCCCTGGAACATATTACCCCATCCACCCCTCACCCCCTCTCAACCCTCGGAATTCAATATTTAATCGTTTAAAGTGGAGTGGAAATTTTTTTCGGGAGAACGAGAGCTCTGCGTCGGTTTTTCGATTTTCTTCGTTTCGGTTCGGCTTTTCCTTTTTGTTTTGTTTTTTTTTTTTCTTTTTCATTGGACAGTTGTTGAGGTACTGTGCCAAATTGTCAGTTTTCGGGGGGTTTCTGTTACGGTCCACTCGGTAATTAAGGAATACTCAAAGTGCTTCATTCACATCAACTGTACTCAAGACTGAAGAGACAATTTTTGCTAGATCTTTCGTCGATAATCAAAAGTTGAGGATTTTTCGCGGGGAACAGCTGTACTTAAACCTTATGAGATTACTCTTTTTACTCGTTTAAATTTTCGCTTCAATTAATCAAGAGACATTTTTGGTCGAGGGGTAAAACGGTTCAAGTGGATTTTCATTGGATTTTTTATATTCAGTAGTCCTGATGACGTTTTTGTGGGGAACTTTTTTGGAGGGCTTGATTCGCTCTACAGAAACGGTTATTACCATAATTACGGTATTTCAGTTAGATTGGGAGATATTCCTTGAAGAGTCGAGTTAGATGTCGATTTGAATCGTTTTAATGTTTGACTAATGAAATAATTAGTGGAAATTGGACAACACAATTATCTTTCAGTCAAAGCTTTTTTTACTGACGCCTGGTGTATTATTTCCTGTCGACAAAATTAACTGTGATCTTATTGTTATAACGAAGCCACGAACAATTAATGTAGAATCATCGGACAGGCAGTACAGGGGCTTTATTTTTTTAATCAGTTCTCTCGTTCCTAAGTTACGTGATAATTAGTCAGATTAACAAATTAGTCACCACCGACCGTCCACGAACAGTCCACACGTCAAAATAGTCACGATTATTTTAATGATTTACTCATGCTGATGTTATTATTTCTACTGAAATGACTGATAGAAATGACTTCGTTGATTCATCTGTAATGTGAAACGTAGATATTTCGGTCATGATTTTCTCGGGAACGAGGGGACTTACGACCAAATGGTAGAGGACATTTTTTATAGGTAGTTCGATCCTCTATGAAAAGTTCCTCTGGCTTTTTGTCGTGGAATCAAGGGTCTCGGAGATAAATCCGACTGACTAAGACAACATTTCATTTTGTATGTTTCACTACTTGACTGCAGTATTTCACTTATTAAAAAAAAAACAATGAAATCTCAACCCCGAACTTTAATCATAAGTGAGCGTTTGTTTAGGATTTTCTATTTGTATGTAAGGTTTAGTCGCTTAGCGGGCGGTGGATTATTGTATTTTTCAGTCGAAATTTTCGCTTTATTTTTATGGATATGTAATTCATAATGTACGAAGTCAATGTCTCAGTGTTCTCATGAATATGTCGATTATGAGAGGATCGGAGTTCGTCTCACTCGAAACCCAGAAAAATTTATGAATATTAATACGACGAGCACTCATTCTGCCCGGGGTTCTCGAATTTTCGAGGAAAAATTTATTCCACTGGCTGAAATTAATTTTACCCGGGCAATTCAGGTGCAGGGGCCATCAAACAGGAATATAAATTGTCCTGGCTACGAGATGAGACGATTCTTCAGCAATTTTCAAACAATTCTCTCAATTTTCATCATCAATCATCAACCAGTGAAGTGGTAAAACGAAAAACGATTTCAAAGAATTTCAGAAATCGATTTATCTCGATTCGAAGCTGTTTCAGACGAAAAATTCATAAGAACTTTTCACAGAGAATTTCATGAGCTACAAAAAAGGTCTCGTAACATTCTCTCATAAACCCTGTAATTATCGAGATAATTACATTGTCAATTAATAACACTCCACAAAATTTACGTTTTGTGGAACTCTGACATATAGCGTAGTATCTCGATAATGAAAGGTAGTAGAAAAAACTAGCACATAACTTTTTTGTGGAAAATTGAATTCTCTGTATAAAATATCATATGACATTTTCACGTAGGAGGCTTCAACGTCGAGATATCCACGATTTACCACTCCACATCAGCATTAATCCACGCGATTTATTGATAAAAATTGACAAGTCGTCAGACATTCCCTCGCATTATTCCAATTTGTGTATCGACAACGTAAAACACTTCGTCACACAGAGATCGATTGAATCACACGATTGACTCTTCATCCCCATTTTAAAATCATTCACATCATCCCCATTCAAGGTTTGCGTCGATAATCGCGCGGTCGTTTCTCTGTGTCGAATTATTTAACGTCGTCTGACCCTCGTGTTATCACTCTTCCCTGTATTTTTTGTTCCAATTATCTATTTTTTAATTGAATTTGTCTGAGGAGAACAGGAGGAACAGTGAATTAATAATAAAAAAATGGATTAAATGCTCAAAGCCAGTGGCCCGCTCCCAATTTTTCGATGTATACCATTATTTACTAATATATGAATATTCGAATTAGTGAGATAAGTTTCTAAAGTTAAAGAAAAGAAAACACGAGAACGAATAAAACATTTATAAGTTATTTAATCCGAATATCATGGCTCTGATGTTTATTGAACGACCTTTTGGGATTTGTTGAGGGTTTTGTAGGGTTTGAGGATTTTATTTCGATTATTTATACGAGATCAATCACTGCCTCGACATCGACAGAGAGTTCCCAAAATTGATTAATTCATTAATTACTCAACCGTAAAAAATTGACAAATTGACAAATTAATCCTCGATTAATCAATTAATCAATTGACTTCCGTTTCCACACAACGTAATTCGTAATTCTCCAATTGAAGATCGTTCACAAGACAAAATTTGTATTTTTGTCGATAAATTTTGTCGACCATAATTAATGAATAATCGAATTTTTAATTGGCCCTCGCAGTGAGTAAGAATAAAAATGCCAAACGGAGAATCAAATACTGAATTCATCACCACGAATTTTTAATACTTGAATAATTCAGCGTAAAGTAATTAATGAAATTTATTTTCTGTGCCAAATAAGCAATAAAACCTTCATTCACCCACCGACTCGCTGTCTGCGGTTGTGAGTAATTTTAATTTTCGTATTTGTCAAGATAAAATAAAAGGAGGAACATAGATTAAAAATTTTCAAATACTCAGAAACAAACGAATCTGAAATATTCAACTGCTTTACGACCTATAAATGATTAATTTTTTAGTAGCATCAATTTGAAATGAAGATAAGTATAGTACCTAGGATAAGGCCCAAGAACTAAACAAAACGAAAAAAATAAATAAACGATAAAAAAAAAGCGAAAAAAAAATTGAAATGAATTAGTCTAGAGCGAATGGTAGTTAACGTATTAATATCGATGGTTTTACTCGGACGAATATATCAGATAAGTTTAGCTTTAAGTAAAGATGAAAAAACAAATTGCTGGATGGTATAAATCATAGAAAGGATAAAACACAAGTGTTTGTGTCTCTAATGTGCACTTTGATTCTCGTTAATCGAACAATTGAGATCATTTTTTACAGTTCCTATGATCGAAGGAAAACAGTGATGGGAGGACTGGATAACAGAGAAAGTCGACGGCAGCATTTTTTTTTTCACTCGAGATTACTCATCGAATACATAACGATAATATAATTTTTTATTGAATGTAAATGTGAGGGGAGAGCCGGGTGTCCGTTGGAGACACGAATTTATTGATTAAAAAAAAACACTGATATATATTCAATAAAGATAATTGTTCATAGTAAAATAATTCTTACCTTGTCATTCATATCCATGATTTTTTTTCGTTTCACTGCTGAGTTTATGTTTGATGTTTCTCCGGATTTGACAGTTTTCAAATTTGAATTTCATGCTGATTTTAGAGCTATCTCTTCCAGAGAGGATTGACTCAAGTAGAGGCTCAGGTCTGGGGATTTGAGTGACCCCAACGGCATCGTAGTACTGCACCCCAAGTGAGGGAGGGCGCCACACACAATGGGGGTGTCTCAGGTATGATACAGGGAGGTAATTCCAAGCTTTGATGTCGCCGACACCAAAACAGGGGACAAGTACCTTCAAACGTCATATGTAGCGCTGTATAACGCCTTCTCCTCATGTGCGTTTCGTCCCCACAATTCAGCGATTTCTGGCGTTTACATTTGAATGCCCGTCGAGTCGTTTGATTTTTTTTCTTTCAAATTGACATGAAAAAAAAAGGTATGGCATAAAAATTGTCTACAAAAGCATAAATGAACAATGGGTATATGATTATTTCAATACGAGAGATTCTTCCCCAGTATTGACTATTTTTTCATAAATCAAGTAATTAAAGTGAAACTCTTTCCACGTCACCCAAGAGGTAGAGTGCATGACGCGTTTTTTTTAAAGTGGTATCCCCTGTAGGCCTAATCCACTAAGTCAATAGATGGAAAATTGTTATGATTTGAAAACCTGGAATAAAAAATGAACATTTATTAATAATAAATAATAATGAATTAATAATAAATTCATCAATTTCTATGGATATTCTAGCTGCATTGTCGATGGTGAATCATCTCAGCAACACTGATTTGGGAGAAATATTGAACGATGATGGAAGATTCGAGGAAGTTGTCAATGACATAAAACAGGTGAATTATTTAATCGATGACAATAAATGGATAATAAGGCGGTTGTCTCATTATTTTCTTGTCTTATTATTAGATAT